TCAATCATCACTGCATACATGTGTGGGGTCAGGTTTTCCCCAGCCCAGCGTTTCTCGTGCTTGGCCATGCATGCAAACCCATCGGCCAAAGTCCAAAGGTATATATGGTTGGCTATCTACCTTCATTTGTCATTGGCAGTCGTTTGACGAGTCAGGAAATGTTGAATAAATTTAAATACAAAATATGGACTGTGGACAGTTTGGTGCTAGTTATCTCATCTAAGTTGTAACATAACAACTCCTTCTGGGAATGTTTACTGAGAACGTCTGTGAACAGTTCACACTGGTCACATTGGTTGCTGACTTTTCGACTTTTCTTGCTCTTTCTATCATGTCATTAGGTGGTGAAGTTTATGACTGGCGTTAACTCAGCGGAGGAAGTGGAGCAGTCCGGATCGCCAGAGGTGAACGACGTTCTCGATCGAGTAGATCAGCTCACCGACTTGTCACAGGCCATGATGGCCCGGCTTGAGTCACAGCAATTATTATTGGATAACCAGTCACAGCGGCTAGACCGTCTGCTGCATCGACAGCGTAAGCACTACCGACACTTCAAGGGCAACCCGAACGAGCGTAGCCTGGATATTTGATGAACTACTGTACAAGTTCAAAGTTTCGTTTTGGAATTAACTTTCGCTATGTTCGTTAGGGGGCACGAAATAACTAAAGTTTGTACCAAATTTAAGTCTTTTCTGAACTCTCGGGGTGACAGACCTCGACCAAAACAAAATTTAGTACATAACGAACCTGCTGGTGGAGTGATCTAAGGAAAGATTTCGTGAGCGAAATTTGTACTTATGTGGTACTTGAGTCTCGTATTGAACTTGATGTGTGACGATGCATTGCCGCTGTATACCTTTAAAACTGCAAAGCACACCTCATTATCGTTATGCAAAAGTCAGCAGATATAATTATGTATATTTAGACTCGGGTGGAGAGCCAAGGATTCTCATGTATGTGTTATGTATATTTTTGAAGGTGTCCCACAATCTTCTCACACAATGTCTTTACCTGAAAATGTGCGTCATGCTATTTACGCTTTTTGACTGAAATATGGAGATTGTACTTTTAAAAAAAGTGTATTCCTGAGATGCACTGCCAGTTAATCCTTTGCTTAGTCGTGTTACCCTCTCAGTCCCACTTATCATCATACAAGTCTACCCTCGTCAGTACTGTAGCCTGGCCTCAGTGGGCCAGGCAGCAGACAAGGAGAATCATCAGATCAAACTCACAAGTAGGTCACAGTTCAGTTGTAGATCAGATGTAGACTCAGAATCAGACTGAATTGGAAGAGGATGAACTGATGTGTGACAGCCCTACTTATACCTGGCCAGAGTGCTCTCTGTCCAATCAGGAGCTATGCATGTGACTACCATGACTACAGGTGTGGCGCAACTGCACCAACTAGGAATGCAGTGAGTCATGCATGATGTCAAGTAACAGATGCCTGCTAAAAAAGTATGAAAAACAAGAAAAAAAGATTAAAGCTTTACAACAAGGTGGCTCGAACCTAAACTACACGATCTACTGTTCCCAAACCATTGGCATTGGCATCCCTCCATACAAGGTACAATGAATGAGGCATGCCCAAATATGGAATATGCACTGTGTTACAGTACTACATAGACAAATCTCATTAGTAGGCAACAGTCAAAAATCCCCTGACGCCTGAAACGCGTACATTCGCGTCCAGATAGTAGATACATGTATACTACTCGTTATAGGACAAACAATTTGAAACCACCGGGGTTATCTACTAATGATGGTAGCCCTGCGCTACACTTGAATGTTAGTCCAGACCTGTTGCAGTAGGGCTATAGTAGAGTCGCGCGCCGAAGAACATTGAGCCCAAGAATGTCCAGCCTGAAATGCTAAGAACACCACAGCCTAAAGACGTTAAGTCAAGAACGGCGGCCCAGCGTTCGTTTTCCGGCAGCTTCTGGGATAGGTATGATCCAGTACGAATTGTTTCTAAGAACGTGCTATGAGAACGCAGCCATATTGCTGACAAATAAGAACGCCCCAGGCTAACCCTCGGTAACAACGTTCTTGGACGCGCGACTCTACTGTACCCGACTGTGCAGAGCCTCATAGCTGTGTGTTTACTAATCCCGTATCAAGGTATGGTTTATGCAAGCCTGAGACAGCCCTGCAGCTGGTCCACTGCTTGATAGACTGTCGTAGTGTTGATGATTTATCCTACTGCTAGATCGCCGAGATCAGCCTATTAAGTTCACGGATAAGCAGAATGCGCTACAACATGCACTATTAACTTGGAGATACATCCTGATCTTGTCTTCTGGAAGCACAATGTACTGTGTACAATTACGAATACCATGTGCTTTGAAGCACTCAGTCAGTGGAGTGTATTGGATAATTATGAACTCTTATTCCTAGGTGTTCTGGAGCATAAGCATGACCAGTCCGTGCAGAAGGAATCACGCAGGGTTGCGCCTGACAACAGGGTTTACCATTGGTTTTTCCCACCTATTGTTCACACTTCTACCATGATTACAAGTTACAGAGTACACCTTGTATTTTACTGTCTTGCCTAGTGAACTACTTGATCAGTAGGGATCTCCTACACCACCACCTTGGTCTTATAACGTAAAGGTTTAAAAATAATCATCTCCAACATTTCGCCACTGGGACTTCATCAAGGAGTACCTTGAAACTTTTTTAAATCTTTGTGTAGTAATTAGGTCATACGGGTACAAGTTCAGGTATATGGCTTACATCATGTGTATGCCTGGACCCGGTTGTTTACTCCACAGATTCCCTTTGCTCCATGGACTGCATGTTTGTAGTACAAGTGCAGGCATGGGTAGAACTGTAAACTAACTACTAGTCAACAAGAGTACATGGGGGTTGTGTACTCTTGTAACGTTAGTGACCCAAGTCGACGTAAGCAGCATGTGCACACAAGCCAGCCTCTGAATATCAGCTGAAATCGTTATGAAACCATGAACAGCCAAAAATGGAAATCCACCACTGAAAAACTAAGCGGTGAAAATTGGAAATAATTTATAAAATTGCCAGCGAGGTCAGGTTAGTGTAATTCACAGGGTCTGAGGCATACATGCAGCCGAAATTCAGCAAGCAGAGTGACGGCGCTTACAAGCTGCATGGGTAGATGTATCCACAGCCCATAAATACGTATGGCTTATTTCTAAAATTGACAAGTCTGCGTGTCGGGAATACCATCATGAATCTGCTGGCAGAAAATACTGCAGAGCACAATCACTGCATTCTGAGACAAATCATCATGTTGATCAGCGACAAGGAATTACAACATCATTAAAATCTACTCTCGTGCCAGTAATGACATCATCACCACTACTGCGAACAACCATGATGTCGCTGATTCACTACTGATGACGCCATCACAGTTGCAGTGCATGCCCCTCTAATGTGGCCTGTCCTAATGTTCCTTGACCTCCGGGTAGCAAGCGCCAAGGAAGCGATGGGCAATCTTGTGTACCTTGAGTATAACATCATAGTCGCCCATTTCGCAATCATACGACTGCTGTCCTTCGAAGAAGCAGAGAGTGTACAGCGCAATCTCAAACTCGGGGCTGACACCGACAAACATGGACGTCACCGGCTTCAGCTCACCCTCCCACGCAAACTGAATAGAGATGAGCTGGTCATCTCCATCCGGCTGTGTTCACAGCACATACACACATACATACAAACACACACCACACACACACACACACACACACACACACACACACACACACACACACACACACACACACACACACACACAGTCATAGACAAACAGAGAGTTAAAGAGACAAACAGACAAAGATGCACTGTGCGTGTGTGTGTGTGTGCGTGTGTAACAAAGATACTTCATAGGTGTGTGGTGTAGACCAGGCTGAATAGTGGCAGTCAATTATTCAGCCCTGAAAGCTGTTGAATGGTGCAATCCCAGCAGAAGTTGCTATGGCTTCTGCTGTAGCATCGCTATCATCGCCTCTGGCGATGGGTGTCAAACGGTCAATGGTGTGTGTGTGTGTGTGTGTAGTGGGGAAAATGTGGCTCATTCACGAACACACAGTTGGTTTCTCACTTTCATACAACCAAACATCAGAACCATCAGAACCAGTGTACATTCCAAGATAATCCAAGTGGGCTTGCGCTTGTGGGCTTTCATAGGACTTTGGAGGGTCTCCCGACCTCTACCCAAGTTTGGCTGTATGGCGTTGAAGAGGAATGCGGCTGAAATGCCACCCGTTGGAGTTGCACAGCAATGGTGCAATGTGTAGATAACAATCAGAGTCAATCCCCACCACCACCACCAAGCGACCGTACACAAAAGTACTGGCAAGAGTGAATATCCCCCTCCTCCCCCGGCAGGGTATGGAACTCAGGATGATATGTCTTATATGGAAGAACTGACGCTAACTGACGCTAAGTGTTCCACACCTGCTACAAGTACAATCAAGTCATGCAAAGCATGCAGAAAGCAGCATGCGAAGGCCAGCAGTCTGGGTGAATACTCCCTCAGTGTACTGGTTGTAGTCACGGCTGCATGGCATTGCAGGATTTCGCCCCGCATGGCTTCACTTAGCAGCAGCAATGCGTTCACGAGAATGTGGTCCCAATTGCGAAAACACACCCTCCTGCCCTTATTCTACTACTAAGCCGAATCATTGGATCTGGACTAGATCTATGCTTGCCGAGTCCAGTCCCAAGTGTACAGCCAGTGGTAACTGGGACGAACGAACTTTACGCATACTTCTCCTGTAATGATTTTAAAGTCTGCCGCACTAGACCTACATGCGCCTGTCCCCGGGGAAAATTGCGATTCCGCGGCCGCGTTTTTTTCCGCGTTTTTTCCGATTTTTTAAAAGACCGCGTTTTCCGCGATTTTCCCGCGTTTTTTGAACTTTTTGTTGCACTACACGTACACACAGTGCACTTTTCGGTCAGCAACGTCTCATCGTGGCGGCTTTTTACTCAAATAATGGGTGCTTTATACACCAGAGACTTGTAACTGATTGATTTCACTACATACTCACTGAAAATTGCCGCATTCACCGCATATTTACCGCAAATTCACCGCAAATTATGCCATATTATGCCGCGTTTTTCCCCGCGTTTTTTGCGATTTTTTTCCGCAATTTTCCCCGGGGACAGATGCGCATGGAGTTTAGATTTGTATGGTGAGTACCACATGCGAGCTTAACTGCTGTTCGTGTTGCTCCGCGACATTTCAATGGACAGGACTGTATCAGTGTATGGGGGTCACTTATCCACACATACCTTTTTCTATCCCACTTCTCCCCCCCCCCCCCCCCGTGGGCGCATAATCGAGGATCGGGTACACAAGAGTCAGATAACAGATGGTGGGATAAGCGACTACTACTATAGTCTATATATTATGTACCTGCACTGTGTACGTACTCACAGGTACGCAATAAAAGGGAACAATGTGATGCATTCTTACTTTCCTACTAATCTTACCGGGTCTGCACTTCCTCGGCCTCGTCTCCTAGGCAGCACGAAGCCTCTGTAGTCCACATTGCCTTTGCGCTCTTCTAGAAAGAACTGGATCCAGTTGTGGAAGCCCTTCACTGCATCGTCACGACTCTCGCCCACAAACACATGCTCAAATCCTGACGAGTCGTTTCTCGTCTCTCGTCGGTACAGCTTGAACCAAGTGTCGTGGAGTAGCCGCTTGAAATCGTGCTCCGATCTACCGCATTTGTCTTTGGTGGCGAGGTACGAATGCACGTACTGGATCGGCTTAGTTTTCATCAGCTCGTCAATGAAGTGCCAGTTTTCTCTCTTCTCCTCTGATGTGACTACTTCAGCAACGCCAGTCTCCTTCTCGTAGTTATCCAGCAACGCGTAGAACGCCTTGAACGTCGCAATGCTGAAGAACTTGTCCTTCTTGACGAACTTGAAGAGGTTGGCAGGCGCTGCGTCAGAACGCGTGAAGATTTTCTTACCGCCCTGCAGGTCGATCTCGTAATCCTGGCCTGGAACAAAGCGCTGCTCGTCCAGCTCCCACAATCGACTGCACGCTTTCGTCACATCCTGCAGTTCCGCGGCAGTTGGTTCGGCCATTGTAAACGAGTGACTAGTTCCTTTCCTTCAGCTCCAAACCGTGCAATATCAGAATGGTTTTTATTGAAACGACGTGCGGTACTGCCTTCAATCAGCTTTTGTGCAGCTACCGGGGTGCAGACAGTAGATCTACCAGCAAATAATTCAGTCCTGCTGCTGCACTTTACTATCGCGGTGCGGCAGCTGATCGCGAACGGCTAGCTGCAGGAGCACGAGCGCGACAGCTACAGAAAGTCAACACAACAGACTGGTCAACCACGTGAACAGGCGAGACAGCTAGCTGCACTTTGCACCAGCTTGCCTTGATTGACCTGAACAAAGGTCACGTGCGCAGCACAGGCGAAAATGTTCGCACTTGACTTTCGATTATTTTGTGGTAGAGAGACAATACAGAGCTAGACTAGAGCTAGAGTCAGTCGTATCTAGCTGACACTTGATGGACAGGACAACGCCAACGGCAACGGCTCCACTCAGGCACTCAGGCAGAAATGGTCCCTGATTTGACGACTCCCGGAGGGCGGATATTTGATTCCAGTCTACACGTCGAAAACCCAGAAAGTCAGAGGAAGTACAGAACGAATATTTCAGCCTCAGTGCAAGGCAGTCACCAGAGCTAGAGAAAGTCTGAAGACAAGAAAGAAAAGACGTTGCGTGGTCAAAACGCGATGAGAACTACCATATTTGTCATGGTCCCAAAGTACACCGTGAACACGAAAATTTTGTGTGCTTCAAATCAGGCAGTGTCAGTGGCGCACAGTACGAGCGTACAGTACTATACAGTATACTCAGCAGTGTCTTTGTGGTCCACTTCACAACAATAACACACACAGAAGTCTCTGCTGTGAGCACGGTGGCTCGGCAATGGCTTTATTATTGATAATTATTATTATCTCCTTCCTGATTTTTTTTCCTTGAATAATTGTACGTATAGGGCCTGATAAGAAAAATCGGCACAAGACACTGCTGCTACTGTAGTCGCACAGCAAAACACACAGAAAACGACAAAATGTTACAATGAATGTAACAACACCCGTCCAAGCTAAAGGACCGACATCCCTGCCCCAGGACGGCATCTCGAAACCCCCACACACTCACCACACGGTCATCATCCAGCTTCAGTTCAATCACTGTATTCTTCCCCTGCAGACTCAACCCCCCAGTCACTAGCCATACAATCTGAAGCTGTATGTAACCATACAATGGCCCACAACGCACACACCATCCCTACGTTTTTTAACTAAAAAAGAAAAGCAGTCGTAACTGCAACAGCCACATGGCCAATAAGAAAAACCAATACGATATATCGATAAACACACACCCAGAAGTCAGAAGTGGGAGGGTGGGATACAAACTGCACCAACGAAAAGCCACTGCGAAGTGACAGAAATGCGGTCCAGCACAACATTTTTGATGACGCAAAAGTTGTGGGGAAATCCCAAAATCGGTGCGATTTTGCATGAGCCCAAATGTTCAAGTTACCCACAAAGACACAAGCTTTCCAACTCTCTTTGGCCGTTGGAAAGCGTACCTTTTCGAGTTTTATTTATTGAATTAAAATCGAACTCGGATATGACACAAGACACTGCTGCTACTGTAGTCGCACAGCAAAACACACAGAAAACGACAAAATGTTACAATGAATGTAACAACACCCGTCCAAGCTAAAGGACCGACATCCCTGCCCCAGGACGGCATCTCGAAACCCCCACACACTCACCACACGGTCATCATCCAGCTTCAGTTCAATCACTGTATTCTTCCCCTGCAGACTCAACCCCCCAGTCACTAGCCATACAATCTGAAGCTGTATGTAACCATACAATGGCCCACAACGCACACACCATCCCTACGTTTTTTAACTAAAAAAGAAAAGCAGTCGTAACTGCAACAGCCACATGGCCAATAAGAAAAACCAATACGATATATCGATAAACACACACCCAGAAGTCAGAAGTGGGAGGGTGGGATACAAACTGCACCAACGAAAAGCCACTGCGAAGTGACAGAAATGCGGTCCAGCACAACATTTTTGCTGACGCAAAAAGTTGTGGGGAAATCCCAAAATCGGTGCGATTTTGCATGAGCCCAAATGTTCAAGTTACCCACAAAGACACAAGCTTTCCAACTCTCTTTGGCCGTTGGAAAGCGTACCTTTTCGAGTTTTATTTATTGAATTAAAATCGAACTCGGATATGTAGCCCTTTCCCAAAGGTGCTCTTTTAATTCGCACTTGCTTTTCGCGTCCTTCAAAATAATTATGCTGAAAAAGTGCTCTTTTTTCAGTGAAGGATAGCCATGATACATGTACATGTACATGTTCAGATATGAACCCAAGCTGAGAAATGAATACGCGCTCTTCCATTTATGAGTCCACGAAAGGCAAAACAGGAAGTAAAGTTCAAAAAACCCACTGTTTACAGCATTCTGTACACCGGGTACAAGCTTCACCAATTTGTTGCCCCCTCCCGACCCCCCCCCCCCGAAAATGCGGCGTGCCAAGGCCCATCCACATCGAGCACCCGGAAACTGTGACCGCATGCATGAGCAAACAGATTTATATTTTAGCACTTTTTCAGCTAAAAAAGCTCAAAAAGGGCGATATTCACCAAAAAAACGCAATAAAGGGCGAAAGAAACGGGCTTTTCCAAAAAGGGCCAAAAAGGGCGAGCACCTTTGGGAAAGGGCTACTCGGATGGTGAGCCAATAATTCTGATGAAGAAAGGAAAAGGACAAAATGTTACGAGTTTAAGACAAACTGTCCACCAACGTAACCAGATCTTATACAGTCAGCGAGTGCGACAAAATGGCACAAAACTGACAAGGAGTAATGACTACTAATGAGACATTCGGAGACCTGACACCTACATGTAGCTCCAACACTTCTCCAAGGCGCAAACCAACAACCTTCCAACTTGGAAGGCTCAGGTTCGGAAAGGTCCAAGAGGGGTAGGAAAGCGCAACGAAGAAGAGCATGAGCTACGCGCCACGGCAACAAAGAATGCGGAAAGCCGTTATTGGATGATGACGAAACTAGTGAGACTATTGGACATACCGGCCTTACTACAACTCGACGACGCAAAGTAACAGACCACCCAACTTGGGAGGCTCATGTTTATGTAATAAACATAGAAAGGGGAAGCTAAGCGAAGACGAATTGTGACAAACCGAAACGCCAACATCCTACTGAACGCCACTATCATGTAAATATGATCCGGACTAGTTATGTACAATTAAAAACCTCTTGTACGGGCAAATAGGCATGGGCGGGTAAAGCTAGTTATTTGCTGCGATAATGCTAAAGGCAATGCTCATAATATGAGGATATAATACCACTTATAATGCTCACACTACTCCATAATGCCAGTTTGAAAGTTGGAAAAGTCGATTTAAGAAGGCCATCTTGGATCAAGGCCAAAGCGTAGAAGAAAAAAACTTAAACAGCAGTGAGCATGTTGTCTGAAACAATCCACTGAGAAGGTTGATTTGCAAAGTCAAGTCTCCTGACGAAGCCGGACGGGTTCAGATGCATGATTTTTCGGAACTGGACCTAGCCAGCTTCATGCATGACACTGTTGTTGACCGGCAATTACATGTACATGTATGCTTGTAATGCCAATTTTGCATGCGAAATGGTGTTATAATACCAGCATTATGCCACCTGGAAAACAGGGACTATAATGCCAGCCACAATGCTAGCATTACCCGCCCATGCCTACTGGCAAAGCAAATGTGCTTACATACATGTACAATGTACATGTAGTATTATGACACAAAATCTCAATACAAAAAATGAACAAAACGCCAAGAATCTGAAGAAAAAGACTCAATCCAATTCTTTGTTGCCATAACGGGAACTGAAATCCAACACAAATCTGAGAAGATGGCAGTTGGGGTTCACGCGGCAACAACATCACGAAACGTAAGCACTAACAATGTTGAAACATGGTTGCAGGAGACAAACTACAAGTAATCAAACAAAGCATACAATAACTAGTTCCACACGACGTACGTTTCGCCGTATACATGTAGGTCATGACGGCTCATCAGGTGTGCAAAGTTGAACTCGGATGGTGAGCCAATATAATTATGATGAAGAAAGGAAAAGGACAAAATGTTACGAGTTATGACAAACTGTCCACCAACGTAACCAGATCTTATACAGTCAGCGAATGCGACAAAATGGCACAAAACTGACAAGGAGTACTGAGACATTCGGCGACCTGACACCAGTAAGGCCGGTATGTCCAATAGTCTCACTACTTTCGTCATCATCCAGTAACTTTCGGCATTCTTTGTTGCCGTGGCGCGTAGCTCATGCTCTTTTTCGTTGCGCTTTCCTTCCCCTCTTGGACCTTTCCGAACCTGAGCCTTCCAAGTAACAGAAGTTTGGAAGGTTGTTGGTTTTCGCCTTGGAGGAGTTTTTCTCGAGCATCCTGCGAGCATCCGCTAGAGCATAATTTGGTCATTTTCCGAGCATAATCCGCTTACCCTGCATTGTACTCCTAACCGTTGCACTTTGCCAGTGGCCTTAGTTAGGGGCCGGCCCGGGCCGTCCGTAAATATCGATATATTTTTCAACTCTAAATTTACGAGGTTTACCGTTTACGTTGCCACCGCGTACCGTCGCACAACCTTGCCGTGGCGATGTTCGTGTGTTCACTGGGTTGACTGTAAAAGCCATTATTCTAACGAGGCGCATATAATTATAACGATTTCCCGAAATGGACTGGTTAATCTGTCTGGTTTACATGTACCAAAGATACATGTAACGATTCTCACCCATTCTTAACGCTCAATAGAACACTAAGAACAGTATACATGTACATGTACATGTACATGTATGTATGGATTTCTGTATAACGATTTCTATATTAACGACAGATTTCTCCTCGTTAGAGTTACATTGTAGCACTTCGTTATAATTATTATAATAATTATGGCTTTTACAGTACCTCGCTAGTACTGACTGTACTCTGTAGTAGATCTACTACTTACTAGGATAGGGGCGCGTTCGAATTGTCACTCTTTGACTTTTCGAGGAGTTTCGTTTTTCTGAAGAGGTGGCCTTATTGGTAGGCCTTGACGGATTATGCTAGCATAATTTTTTGCATAATTCCTACCAAAATCGAATAATCGCATAATTCGAGGCAAATTGCATACGAATCGCATAAAATTGGAATAATCCGCCTGTTCGCATCATATTCCATACAGTTGTACATGTTCTACAAGTACAAGTACAAGTAGATGCACTAGGAAGTTGTAGGTTTACGACTCCCTTGATAACATGTCCAGTCCACTACAATCAGTGATGGTCGTAGCTAGGTCGGACGGAGCGTTGACCCTGTTGAACTTTTGCTACTACAGTACAACGCCCTCTACAAAAAAATTCCCCTGTTATTTTGCACAGAACCATTATGCATTAGCAGCATATGGGAGCATAATGCGGCATAATATGATAACTTTTAGCATAAAAATAGCATAATTCTGCAATTTTTTCAGCAATGCGAAAAGCATAATTTCACGAAAATATTAGCATAATCCGTCAAGGCCTACTTATTGGCCTCTTCAGAAAAACGAAGCTCCTCGAAACTCCACAACCTTATCCGATGGGAGAGGTGGATTAGTTTGGAAGATTTTGTCGCGTTTGGAATAGCTACGTCACCATGGTCACGTAGTACGTGGAGATGGTCGATCTGATCGGACGTCATCATCGCCATGACAATTCCACTGAAAAACTCAAACTCTAAAACGATAGAAACCGTAAATGGGACACTTCTCTTTATAAAATTTGTTTGAACAGTTGATGAAGACAATAGACCTTTTGCGCAATAAGCGAGAGGGGTCGAGACGGGGCATGCTGTGCACGCGCTGCACACTTGGCATGCAACCAGCATGCATGGTTTTGCTGCAGGACGTGATCAAGTAACGTGTCGTTGCATGCATGTTGCACTGATTCGAATGACACCATACACACATTTGTCAGGCATACCTAAGTATGCATATCGCCTATAATTATAATAATTATTATAGTAATATATCGCCTATAGTGATATTTTCACGAAAATCAAACACCAACGCTATAGCCGATCCGTACTGTACAAGTAGATCTGCTACTACTACTAGTACTAGTAGTACGTAGACCTACTAGTACTAGTACTAGTAGTAGATCTACTGTAGCCAGTGTAGGCTAGGCGAAGGACACTTTTCAAATGACTGTGTCGAAAAAAGAAAACCCTGAGTCTGAGATGAGGCTGAGTCAGTATTATAGATTCAGCACTCACAATACACAGTCACCATGTCAGTAATGAGTGTGCTTGCGCTGTGTTATCTGCTAAATAAAACAATTGTACATGTACGGTTTGTAATAATAATGTGGGCTCCCCGTTCGTCTGTCGGTGGATGACCACATCATACGCTGAAGTGTCTGTCACTACCTGTGGCTGTGGGAGGGCTGGTGATAGCTGTCTGAAGCAGTGATGGCGATGCCACGTTGAATCGTATGAAGACCAGTCGACAGTTTACGATCTATCATGCAGCTCCGGAGCTCCGTGCACATGCTACTACTAAATCGGGTCGGGCGACCAGCGATCAAATAATCAGGCTAGCATGCAGTCTGAAGGCTATAAGTATAACGAACAATGAAAACAGTTTTTCCATGAACACTCTGATTTAAATAGTCGGACGGACGGAATTATTTCGCGGTGATTAGAAAACACGGCGGACAAGGAAAGGACGGAACAACTCGCTGGGATCCGGACTAGCGCACGTGTTTGCGTGGAGCAACGACAATGGCAACGACTGGGCACTACACACTGGTCCTGCTAGCTGTTGTTGTATGTGCTGCTACAGCCGCAGTGCCCAAGGCAGCCAAACTGACTGATACGCGATATGAAGTCAAGAGTACGTATGATGAGCTGTATGAGGATGGGAAGCTGGCGTATAGCAAGCAAGAGTGGACAAAGGTGGTTGAAGTGCTGGAGAAAGCCCTGACGGACTACAAGGCAGAAAGGAGTGGAATGGCATTGTGTTACGGCGAGTGTAAGACGGACAAATCCACTCCGCTGCTGGGAGATACTAGCAGCGAGCAGGAGGTCATCCGCCATCTAGCCGCGCAGGCTGTGTGCGTGGAGGCATGCAAGCGCCGCAGGATGGGCCTGCGCGGCCCAGTGAGCAAGACCGTGAGAGAGCAGTTCAATGCTGCATATCCATTTCACTATCTTCAGTATGCCTACTTTCAGGTGAGATATCCATGGTAACCATAGTCAAATGTGTTTAATCATGGGAAGAGGGGGGGGGGGGGGGGGAGGTCAGTATACCTACCCGCATTGGCTGATAAATGATGTAATGATGAGCCAGAGCTTTGATATGTGACGCTCAACGTATTCATCTTTGTGCCGAGTGTGGCAATTCCACTCGATCGCACTCTGCGTTAACGGACATAAGTGTTGCCTTATGCATGGGGTCAATTCGGTAAGAAGTTGCAAATAAAAACACAGTTACGATTCGGATTGTAGATACCGTTATGGCCATGTAACTGAGTTCGTCTGTGTGTGTATGTGTGTGTGCCCACTGCACATGACCCTTGTGGCAATGGCTCAATAGTACAGCATTCAGGACTTATAATGGGTGTGTTTATTGTGTTTATTTTTATTTGCAGCTGGGAAACATCACGAAAGCAGCTGAGGCAGCATTCACGTACGCCATGTTCAATCCGGACGACGAGGATATGTCCGCCAACCTCGAAACGTACAAGGAGATGCCGGAGATGAAGGACTTTGCACTGCGCCCGGGCCAAGAGCCCACGGCGAGGGTCCTGTACAACCTTGCTGCGAAAAGCTACCTGAAGGAGGAGTACGCCAAGACGATCACCACCATGACGGTTGCCATCGCCGAGTTCTTCAACGAGTACCACGTTTGCCGCAGTCAGTGCGACACGGTGGCTGGTTTCAGGAGCGAGGATGACGACGAATCCAACGACGACGACAAGCACAGTTTCCTGGCCGTCTTGGTGCAGATGCATCGCAAACAGTTGACGTGCCGTCTCCAGTGCTGGATAGACCTGGGCAAAGGCTATGATAAGTATCATCCGCTGGACGTGCTGCCAGAGACTCTCAACTACATCCAGTTCTCCCAGAGCAAAGGTAGGAATCATAGCGTCTTTTGTCCTTTACAGGGAATTGGAACTAAATTGTGATCTTTTTTAGAGGCTATGTTGGTACATCAGCTGGCGCCGCTCAACCCAGCATTCCGGTTTGCACCTTCTGAATGTGCAGATGATGACGGTCTCGGGTTTCCGTAGAACTATTCAGCAGATCCCCCCCCCCCCCCCCTAATCAAATCCAATTTGGATGTGGGGTCTTCAACATGGTGTCCAAATGTAATACGACTGGGGGGGGGGGGGAGAGGGAGCAGCTGGTTCAGTGGCTGACAGCACGTTATAAATTGTGTGTGGACATTTCTCATGGTTCTGTGTCTTTGTTCCTGATTCTTGCCATTGTGACGTTGTAGTTGAGAACAACGAGGGTGCTATGCAGGCCGCTGTGGATTACCTCACTCTGAAGCCACACGATGCAGTCATGAAGGGGAACATCAAGTATTACGAGTCGGTGGGCATGAAGCGAAAGGACTTTGAACCGTCCGAGGTAGGTGAAGCCGCATTGAAAGCAGCAGCGCTACCTTGTGTGTGTGTGTGTGTGTGTGTGGGTGGAGGGGGGGGGGGGGGGGGGGGGCTACCTTGTGCGTGTGTGTGTGTGGGTGGAGGGGGGGGGGGCTACCTTGTGCGTGTGTGTGTGTGGGTGGAGGGGGGGGGGGGCTACCTTGTGCGTGTGTGTGCGTGTGGGTGGAGGGGGGGGGGGGGGGCGCTACCTTGTGCGTGTGTGTGTGTGGGTGGAGGGGGGGGGGGGGGGGGCATGCTCTCCCATATCAAACTAAACAGTGCGGAATTTTGTGAAGAATATAATTCGTACGATAGTGTACACCACAGGACCGTCGCACACGGTGCGGTCACTACGGTATTGACCGTACCACTCTTTGCCCCAAGTACCCCGTGAATCAATAAAAAGCACCAATATGGGCTCTGAATTTCCCAACTTCTCGGCTCAGCCACCCCTTCCTCACGCGTAAATTGTACTTCAGATGGCTGACCGTACCACACTAGATTACCTTCCGACACCCCTGAACCGTAAATGTACATTCAATCGAAATTTTAGTTCCATACAAAACATGCACTACACTTCAGTACAGGGTAGGCCACACAAGAATTTGCGGCCACTGTGAGATCGGTAGCAGTTTCAACTTTGCATGATAATGTGCGTGTATAATTGTATGGGTGCGTGTGTGTGTGTGTGTGTGTGTGTGTGTGTGTGTATGCGTGCCCGTGTGTGCATCCACTTGCTGCTTGCATTTTATAGAACGTGCTCATGGCAGCATTGGAGGTCCGTAACGACAGAAAACTTCTCAAGAGACTGAGGGGTGGTTCTCGGAAAACGGAAGAGCAAGCTTTCCGCGAGGAGGTGAGTTATGCTTCAAAGTAGATTTATTTATACCCCTGTTTGGGCATGACTTGCACACGTTTGATTTCGGCACAATTCCCAGGCTGACCAGTTTGTTTTCTTCACAGCACAACCAATCACGGATGCACTGGCCACATAATAAAAAGGTATACCGGTGGTTCTACTAAAAGACTTCCTTAGCAAAAGTACGATAACGCTAACTTTTACAGTACTCACTCCCAGCCATGACAAAAGACGTTATCGGATAACGGAAAAACGTTACAGAGCTCAAAATAACGGGCCGACGTTCGTTATGGAAATTCTGCAAAAAATGCAAAAACTCGCATTGTTTTGTAACTGGCGGGAGATAAAAAGCACGTGCAGATCGAGATGAGAGTCGAGATTGCTTCCTCTTGTGACATTTAGCTTTTTTGGCGAGTTTTGCCTTTCAGTTGACAATGTCTGCGTCCTCTGCTTCGTGCCTTTCTCCCTCTATCCCATCTGGGAAACAAAGGACCAGTTCAACGGCACTCCTGAGGAAGAAATTCATCAGCCTCTCCCAGACGTGCTGGAGCTGGAGAACCCTTAAAGTCTTCGGTGCTGCGTTTAGGAAAGGTTTTCCAAGGACCTGGGAACAGCGAAAACTCATTTTCGCTGTGCTTTTGCTATTCCAGAGTAAAAGACCTCGCCAAGGTATTCTTTCGGAACGACAGCAAACTAATCCCTGGTTCAAAATTTTGAATTTCCCGCACCTGTTTCCACGAAAATTCATATCGCCATGGTTGTCACGACTACTTCGTCTCAACTATAACTTACTTTGTGCTAAGGGAAAAGTTAGCTTGAACGATCCGAAGTACGGAAAGGTTCGCGTTTACGTTAGCGTATTTTTAGCTAAGGATATCTAATGACCACTGCAATCATCCTGGCTACATTGGTATTATTCCTTACTGGCTCAAGGGACATGCATGCACACCAGGGAAGAGCAAGACTTAGTAGTCAACAACTTGCCGTATTGTGCTGATGAAAAGCGTTCCTTGTGTCGTTATCACCTAGCTTGTTTGCCAGAACTGCTGACATGTGTGCATTGTTTGCCTGTGTTGATGTGCAGCTTGGAATCGATGATGTCGTCGAAGACGATGATGTTGAAAACATCTTCAAGGATTTTTCGCACGTACAGGTGGGCTCCCCTTAATTCAGCCCGGCTTAAATTTCCTTTGCTCGAAATTTGAATTGTCCGAAATTCAACCCCAGGTAGTAATCTGTACATGTATGTTAAAATGCTTAAAGTCAGGTGCTGATCATTTCTGCACATTTTATTTTCATTTGCACAAGAATGTGATCATGTAGAACTCTAGAAATGTATACTTTGTCAAGGAACTGGACCTAAAGTCGTCCAAGTATTTTCATTTTCTTGTGAAAAAGTTGATAACCCGGCATTGCTACTGTCCTGAAACAATTTCGACGGGAAAACGCGGAAGAAAAGCAAGTAATCCGCGTCATGAAAGCCTGTCGAAGAGCGACCGCTTCGTTCTTCATTCTGTACAGCGCACGAAGAAGCATCAATCAGACTCAGAGACATCGTCGTCATCGCCGTTGCCGTCCACTACGACGACAGGAAGCGAGAAGGCTAAGCGCGCTAAGCACGGCGAAACCGGATACTACACGAACACTAAGGCACAAGTTGTGTCCAGCAAAGAAGAGATCAGAGCACGCTCAGCTATCAGCCCTGTGGCTGCCGATGATGAGATCTTTGAAGAGGATGCCTCCAACGCAGCAGACAGTACGAGCGTGCCGATCCCAGAAAGTGTCAGGGTATGTTACAAGAGCTATCGTAGGGGAGCTCACATGACACAAATGCTTGCTACCTACTTATTATTTAATGTAGAAAGGAAAAAGGACATTATGGATACGAGTTAAGAGTAACTCTCCATCAACTCCATCGCTGTAACATGATACTCTTTAGACAGTCAGTTATCCATAATGTCTTTTTCCTTTCTGCATTAAATTTTATTTATGGCTCAACATCCGAGTTTCAAATTACCTACTTATTACAGGAGCTTTGCCCTTGTCAGAATTCCCTGCTAACGGAAATATGTGCAGTTCCAGATCCAGTGTACTCCGGTCTGAATTCTCTTTCATTTCAATCCAAATCTCATTGAATACACAACCATATTCATGTAACGTGGGGCTCCACTGACTGTAACTTGAAATGTTTGTCCGTGACAATAGACTGGTGGTGTGTGCTTGACCTTCTGGCACCGCATTGTCCCAAGTGTTGATCAGGCTGATTGTGATGTTGTGCAGAGCTAGAGGTTGTAGGAGAGGGGGGGGGGGGGGGGGGAGCACTCACTGATCATATAGCAGTTCAGTGTTCAGTGCAGCAGGGGTAGACTCATACATGTGCTCTACTATACTGCTAGTGTTAATTTGGCTAATCTCTAATAGTGCACTGAATAACGGTTAATTTATTTAACACAATAAACATGCATTTAGGTAATGAACAGTAAAACAGTAAAACTCACCTCACAGTTCATTCATCCAAAAAAGCCTCGTTGGCTTACCAAACTAGATTTTGCCAGACCCATGAATTTCTAACTTTATGATTTCGGTTTTCGCCGTTCTACCGGTGCAACCCCAGAAGTCGTGCCGTGAAAGTGCTTTCAGTTCACAATGTTCTTGAACATGTTGGTGAGTTCAAGTCACTTGTCAGTTAAGCCAATTGTGCAGAATGCTGGATTGTGCCCAGCGCATTCCGTACGTGCACATGTTAAAGTGTAAAATGGCTGCTTCCGCATCTAGCTGTAATGAATTTCTATTATCAGGAAAGTAACCGCTCAATAGTGCTGCGCAGATGTGTTAAGCCTCCATTGAATACATACTCATTGGTTTGAGGGGAAAGTCTGAAGAAAATAATTGTCTGTTACCACCAGGACTGGACCATGCTAACGTCTTTGAAAATCTTCACGTGCACGTCAGTCAGACCAATGCTATCAACCTAACCATGATGGTGACTGCATGCCGCGGCGGTCTGCTCTGACTCTATAGGTTGTGGAATCACCAGCTGATCACCAGGGCTTGGCTAGAGTACTCATCGATGGTCTAGCAACCGAGGACCAGTGCAAGACTTTGCTGGAGCTTTCCAAGGTATGGTGTGCGCCCGTGACTCAGTACACGGTCTATGCAATGCAAACACTGGTGCAGAATTCTGCTGCATCCTAGAGTAATGTGTGTCGACCCATCTAATGACCCATAGTTTTCTGATTCTATCATTACTAAGCAGTTCTGGTTTGAGAGCTAGAGCAGAAAAAATTTGTTCGTAAGATATCCAGATTGATCGACTTTGAAAAGTGCAATATTGCAGTGACCTTGCTATGTGATACTCCCCCCCCCCCCCCCCCCCCCCCGATCTAGACCAAGTTGTCCTTAGAGTCACAGTAACTTGGTGCACTGCCGTATTGGAGTACATACTTGTAATCATTACAGTCTCCCTAGCCTTGGCTAAGACTGTGTCGGATTCGCTGCAGTTCCCTCAGTTCAAAGTCTTCGATGGTGAACTCTCTGCTCCGTGCCATGCTGCAACGAGATTCTGTTGCAGTGCCATTCATAACAGTTTATGGCTCTTCACTTGTCTAACTCCCGGAAACCGGTCTCTTTACTGCGAATCGCTTCACATTCTACCAACTTGTTGGGCCTGGCCACTGATGATCATGATTGTCAGTTCCTGATGATGGGCCAGTCCCAAAATATTGGTTAGGAGTTGGACAAGTGAAGACTTATTAATGTGTAAGTGACTGCGTTGGAGTTTCCAAACAAAAATTAGAAAAGGAACTTGTAGTTCCTTGGTCCTTTTTCTTTTCTATGAATTATCCTTGGCTCTCTATCCGAGTCAGTTAGAAAAAGATGTGTATGCCTTACTGTATTGTACTGTAACCTTGGTTTCCATGTCTGTCTTCCTCTGTAGGAAGCTAAACCTGGGTCAGGATATGGTGGCCGATCATCACCACACACGGACAAAGAGTTCTTCGAGGGTCTGACAGTGTCCGAGGCTGCACAGGTACTACTACCCACTGCTAGCTAGTTAGGTATCCACTGCTAGCTAGTCATAGTCTGTTTGCATATCCTTGGATTCACTGCTTGGGAAGTAATTTAGCTGGCCACACCCAATCAGGCAAGATCATCGGACCTCCTTAGCTTTGGTTGTCTTTCAACTGATTTTGGAAGCTCCATTGTCACCCAAGGATGTATTCTGTTATTAGACGGCATATGAGAGTAGCTTGTCTATAGAAATCCGTTTTCTATGGTCTGTGTGCTTTTGCGTTTAGATCATTGTATGGCGGATAGCAATACATGTTTTTTCTGTGTCTGTTGTTTGTGGCTAGGGTGCGGAGAGTGGAGCGTTCAACTTGTCCTCGGTGCTCCTCTATCTGGACTTGGCGGAGAACTCGAGGAAGTACCTGGAGAGCTACTTCAAGCTGGACAACCTTTACTTTTCATACTCGCACCTCGTGTGTAGGACAAGCCTCGTCAGTAAGTTATACTGTACGGTTTGTGATTTTTGTGGAAATAAGTGTGTTCTCTGCTCCCTGGACAACTCCTCAATTGATGAGAGGTTTTACCAAGGCTTCTAGTAGAGTGCACTATTCAACAGGATCGACTTGACATTCTCCCCATCTGCTTTCGTGTCGTGAGTGTGCATCGGAATCATGACACAACGTAATGGCAATCTTTGCTATTTTTCTTCTCTTTTCCGCTTGCTGCAGAGCCGGAAGATATTAAGGACGAGCTGGCCTTGAGTCATCCAGTCCATGCCGACAACTGTATTCTCAAAGAGGATGGTCGCTGTGTCAAGGAGTCTCCCGCGTACACATGGAGGGATTACAGGTAGGCAGAGCTCTCTGATATGCCTAAACCCATTCGGATGCTGGCCGTTTTGAAACTTTCCTCGGTACCGATAAATAATCGACATGGAGACAGTAACTTGATCATAGCTATAAGGAATATAAAAGGTTTTCTAATTTTCCGCAAACTCCAACGCAGCCACTTACACATTTTGATTTAGCGAACTTCACCCTTCCGGTAATGATGATGGGCCAGGGCCGAAAATTTGGTGTAATGTAGTGAAGAGACCATTTTTGGAGTTGAGAAGTGAAGTTTGCTAAATAAGTATAAACGGCATATAGATATCTCTACAGTGAAGCCTGTCTAAGACGACCGTTCAAGGGACCTTCAAAAATGTGGTCGCTGTGTACAGGTGGTCTACTTATTCAGGGTCGTTTGACTGGAAATAGCATCCCTTGGTCCTGGTTTCAGTTGTCTTCTAGGACAGGTGGTCTTCTAGGACAGGTGGTCTTCTAGGACAGGTGGTCGCCTTGACAGGTTTTGCTTTAGTCACCGTAACACCAGATGCAAATCCGGCATCAGTACAGTAAATTTCTTCCCGACTGTACTACTGTACCGATGAAGATGTCAAAGTATGGGCTGGCTACCCTGGCCTTCATTTTCAGACCGTTTTGCACGTTGACTAACTCGACAAAGACGACCTTTTAAAAGTTTCGGCCAAGTGAAGTGGTAACATTGATGGGCAGATTGGTATCTCATTTGAACTTTGTGTCGTGGTGTCTAGTACGCCAGTTGTCGTCTTGACCTACCGACAAACTTCTCCTCAACGCCATTTGTATTCACCCTGACTATCACATACTGGGCATGAAGCACCGTGTCTTTTCCTTGACTGATTCAGCCATTGTTGTGCTGTGTGCCTTTCTCCCCTGTACCCAGTGCAATTCTCTATCTCAACGATGACTTTGTCGGCGGCGATTTCTTCTACGCGCATCGCGGCAACCGAACAGTTCAGGTATGCGTCGCAGTGGCATATGTACCTGTTCAGTGCTGTTCAGTGCTATTTAGTGCTGTTGAGAGACCTTTAGGCTTAAAAACCACAGTCATGGTTGGCATCTTAACCGGCTTAGGATGGTTGACCAGTGGACCGTGGCAGAGGGGGGTCTTAACCGGCTTCGGATGGTTGTCTTGACCAGTGGACCGTGGCAGAGGGGGGGGGGGGGGGTCTTAACCGGCTTAGGATGATTGACCAGTGGACCGTGGCAAAAGGGGGGGGGGGGTCTTAATGGCTTAGGATGATTGGCCAGTGGACCTTGTGGGAGGGGGGGGGGGGGAGTCCTAACCGGCTTAGGATGATCGACCAGTGGACCGTGTGTGTGGGGGGGGGGGGGGGTCTTAACTGGCTTAGGACAATTGACCAGTGGACCGTGCAGTAGGTGCTTCAGTTAGCTTAATTATAATTTTGATGAGAGGTACTACAGTATCAACCAGTGTGGCTCTGGATGGCATCAGCGCAATTTACCAGACATCCACCTTAGTATTCCTGTACCCTTTGTTCGTGATATATCTGCTCACTTTGCTTCCTTGGTCGTTATCATCTGGCTTAGCCTAGGTACACGACTGGATTCAGCAAGATCATTGCATTCTGGGTATGTACTGGGGGGGGGGGGGGTGCAGAGAAGCAATCATCAGTCAAGTAATTAGACTCGCATGGAGAGCCAGGGATTGAGAATAGTAACTTCCAGTGCACACAGCCGCGCCAAGTCCTTGGCTACAAACAAAAAAAGAGAAATATACACCTCAGTCTCTCACAAGAGGGAGACGGGAAGCTGTATTGCAACTCCGAGCTTCAAGTTGTCAGGATCATCAGGCAACTGAGCACGCTACTTAGTACTTGATAACCTCAGCCTTTCTCCGACTCTTTCCATTCTTTTCAAAATATTCGCACCGTTGGGGGCATCATCAGGGATTTTGAGAGACTGAGGTAATTTTGCCAAGAACTTAGTGTGGCTGTGTGCGCTGGAAGTTACCCGATTATGACCAGGTTAAGTAATTACAGGAGAGTTACACTATTTTCATTAGCCTGATCAGCAGCCTGCATGTTATCCGTAACAGTACTCAGTCAACCATATCTTGCTTACTCAAGTATAACTATTTTAATGTTGGACAAACTACGGATAAAATGTAAACACTTGGACCTTTCTTCTATTTGAAGTTATGTCTGTGTTTGTGTGCCGAGAGGATCGATGGTATCAGTAAGGTGATGTGTTGTGTGTTGTGTGCTGTGTTGTGTGCTGTGTGCTCTGTACCTGTATGCCACATAGCACACTGTGCGGCCAGCGTGCGGACGACTGGTCGGATTCGGAGCGGACGAGAGCAACCTTCACGGCGTGCTGCCACTGTTGTCAGGCCGACGATGCGTTGTAGCCCTGTGGATGACGCTGGAGGCTAACAAAGATGAGGGCGATCACGATGCTACGATTGCACGCCTGGAGAAGCTACGCCGGGCTAAAGTTGCTGCAGCCCGGCGCGAAGAGTTGTGATGCCTTTACGGTGTGCTTGCAGTTTGCAGGTACTGTTAGGTATGAGGTAGTGTTGTGGTGGTGGTCGGGATCAAGTTGTCTCATGAATGTGATCGTGGACATCGGAAACTGGTACCGACGTGGGTCAATCTGTAGCCGCTTGCATTGGCTAAAGTGTGATGTGGCGAGATTTGCACTCCACCTGAGGCGTCCGGCGGCGGGTGTCACCGTGGAGAATGAGCGAGTATGCATGCGCTGTGTGGATGAGCGAGTATGCATATGCTATGTGGAGGAGCGAGTATGCATATGAGATTTGGAGGAGCGAGTATGCATAATGCTGTATGGATCAGCGAGTATGCGTATGTAATGTGGATGATCGAGTATGCATACACGGTGGGCTTCTCAAAGCATCCGTGTGGTTATCAGGTGTGTGCTGTCGACACGGGTATGCGATATCACTACCGTGACTTTGGTTGTGCTATGCCAATGTCCACATAGATACTGGTATTGAACCGCATATGGGCACTATTGCTATACATAATAATGACATTCCTGGCCTTTGGCTAACACAAATCTACTGGCTATGCTATAGCTCACAGTCCGGCGGTGGCCTGTTGGAAGGTCATTGGCAAAATTCAAGTTAGCCATTCTGCAATGTCTCTGCCATGAATTCAGATACTCCTAGCTGCCACTTCTTTACAAGGAGAATTTTTGCTCTGCAAAATCATGATGCTGGTAGAGAGTTGCCTTTAAGCTACTGCTTCTGCTGCTCAGTCTGTGGCTGGCCTTGATTCACCATCATGCATTCACCGATTCCGAGTATTTACGAATTCAACCCAGATCTAAAATCGAATCAAAATATCTATGATAACGATAGCCTCCTGATCTGTTCTGACTTCAATTGTTGGTGTGTGTGTGTGTGTGTGTGTGTGTGTGTGTGTGTGTGTGTGTGCGTGCGTGCGTGCGTGCGTGCGTGCGTGCGTGCGTGCGTGCGTGTGTGTCGATGGTGTGACAGCAACAGGAGGCCAGTGCTGGTGGTGTAGTTCAAGTTATGTGAAACAGCAGACCCAGCCGGCGGATCACTGCGCGTGCTGCAGCCACTATGATTGTGGGCTGGGATGGCTACTGAGCCGGTGATCTCTGAGATATCCAGACATTTGGCGCTGGCGGTAGCCGGAACAAAAACCTGTGACTTTGCCATGAAGGGGGGGGGGGGGGGCAACAGTCACAGGAGGACTAAATTTACCAAAAATAGCCAAAAATGGTTTTATTTGCATGGTTGAACCCCCTGCCGGGCTGTGATTCCAGGCATGTTCTGCTCAGTGGTACATGGCCAGACAATTGCCTACAACTGTGATTCGGTTGCGGATCCTCCGCCGACTGGCGGGGTTTAGTTCATCTTGTACTGGCAGCCGGACTCACGCGTTGTGAGCGCGGTATTCATGGTATTACCGTGTATCAAGGTGATGTTATCGTAATGAGAACCTTGCATCCCATGGTTATGGTAGGATTACGTCGTGATAGCACGGCACGACACGCCGACCTCAAGGAACAACAACATGCAATCATGTTGTGACTGTGTTGTCCGCTCAGCGGCACATTATATACACGCCCGGCACATTATATACACGCCCGGCACATTATATACACGCCCGGCACATTATATACACGCCCACATGCGGTAGCCCAGCAGGGAAGGGCAGAAGAGCGAGCAAACACGCACGTCACACACATACACACGCGCACATGCTGGGCTATGTCCCTATTGCCCTATGCAGGCTATGGGCCCAGTATGGGGTCGGTCAAGGTCACTCCTACTCCTAGTAAGGGGGGGGGGGGGCTTCGAGAAGAATTAATTCCAGGGAGTACGAGTCGTACAGTACTAAAAAAAGGACTTCGGGTTATTAATATTAGTGCGCCTGGCCTGGCCTCGGCTACAGGTACTAGGTCGCACGGATAGGTTGAGCCACGGAGTCCTCGGCTTTGGCTTTGCACTCCCTCACGGCCTCAGCTCAACCAGCTCTCTTTCTGCGGTATTTGGAGTCGACAACGCAGACTGATCGGCATAGCAGCGCAGCACAATCATCATGATGGAGTACTACTTTAGTACTCCTTGGCTTCGGCGGTGACGTCAACTCAGGGCAACATAGTGATTATGAGCTCATCCCTTGCACATGATCGTGTTCTGACATTTCAAGCTAGCAAATCGCCCTGGTTTTTCCTGTCGATTTTTTTCGTGTGCAGGCTCGAAGCTGCAAAAGCAAAGAAAGGACGTTGTTCTGGCTTTTCTCATGTTTCCAGTGAATGCGGCGTAGTCAGACTGTGCAGAGAGTAACATTCAGGGAGGATCTGAGGTTCCTTTGGTTTTGAGTACCTTCGTCTTTTCAAAGGCAATCGAGACAAATCTCTGGACCTGTAGTCTTTGGTATCGGAGCAGACTCATCATGGCTAGCGGATCTACGCTGCAGGTTTGTCCTGACTGAGACCAATTTGTCTCTCTGGGTTCTTGTTATCGAGCTGAAATTTCTTGGATGTGCACAATTGGGTGTGGGTGCAGAAAGCCATTGATCTGGTGACAAAGGCGACGGCCGAGGATAAGAATGGGAACTTCGAGGAAGCTTTGCAGCTGTACGAGCATGCCGTACAGTATTTCCTGCACGCCATGAAATGTAAGTGTTTGCCTGTGTGTTCATGACTCGCGATATCCTTGAAATCAACTGTTGAAAAGCAGACGCAAAATAGAACTGTTGTCAGACATGAACGTGGATTATCCTGTGGTGCTGGCGTAGTCGTAGCGACTGGAAGTGTCTACAACAATTGCATCTGGAGTGCAACATTAGAGGTTGATTTTTCAAATAATTATTTCTCACTTTTGTTTGTGCATGTACTTGTACATTGTAAGCCACATTACCATTATACCGTGGCAATGCAGTCAGTATTAGTTATTGTGATTATCAGTCAGCAGGATTAGTGTGTGCTTGACCTTGCGTGGGAAGCAAGCAGTATACATCAAGTGTACTTTGAAATTTTGAATCCTTTGAATCCACAAGCACCGACTTGAACATGCAAGTTCAGTTACAGTTGTTTGATTGCAACAATTTTCAAATGTCAGTACATGGAACACGAACCTTGGGTAGGGACTTCAATTGAAAAATCAAATTCGCGAGTTTTGCATAAAACGCTAGTTTTTCTAAACCGGGAAGAATCGAGAAACAACCTGTGAAAATTTGAACCCAAAATTCCAAGGCAATCTAGAGTTATAGTCGATTGAAGATCGGAAAACGGGGGAGAAAGTAGTCACAGAAGTAAATGCAAGTATGTATGTGAGCCGTGTGGTTTCCGTCCAGCACTGCACTATCTGGTGCATACATGGCGACACAGGATGTGTGCATGCATGAAGTGTGCACGCATGCCGTGCGCGCCGACTTGCACAAGTCACACGTTTTCACCGTCACTGCTTTTACCAGTGTGCGCGCAGTTCACTCGATTTTTTCGTCTACCACCAGGAAATCGCCGTGGGCTGGTTTCTGTGATCATTTTCCTTCTACGGCGATAAAGCGCAAGCCTCAATGTTGTAGAATCCTCTTGGTTTAGGCTAATTCGAGGCCGCTGAACACGAAAATCGGGTGTTCCTCGCGAAGCCGAGTACGGATCTGGTCGAAATTAGTACTTCGAAGTGCACCCGCGCCAAGCGCGGAGGCATTATTTTTGGAAGCATGGCATGTGTGGCACCATTGGAAAGGTAATGACCTCGGCTACCTAAAAATAGCATCGACAAGGCCGAAAAGGCCGCGGGAGAAGATACTCGGGCCGCGAACTGCATCTCGAACTGCAGCCACGAGGCGCCCATTCACTTTGTACAGGCGAGCTGTGACTGCACTTTTCGCTTTTCAATGACCGGAACTGAACTCCCTACCTTGGGTATAAGTGAGCCCTGCATTGACTTGCCTTAGAGCTGTAGATATTTGTGGCATGAGTGGATTGGCCCCATTGCAAGGAAGCCAGATTTTATTGTGAATGCTCGCGTGTACAGTCGCCTTTTTGCTAAAATTTAATATGAACAATACTGCTCTCAAGAGGGGTAAGCAGCAGCATTTGGCCTTGTCCTGATGATCGAAACAGCTACTGTCTGAAGGAGCAGCGTACCAACGGAAGTGTCGTTTTGCTGATGGCATGCTGTGGCAACATTTTGAGGTCAGCCGGAGAGCGCAACGGTGTGGTGTGGTGGTTGATAGTACTGCTCTCGCCTAACTTGATAATGGTAAAAGAAGGCATAATCTTACTCCACTTTTGCTCCAAATCTGAAAAGATTTCTGTGTACAGTCAGACCTCGCTTAACCGCACACATCCGTTTTCCACAAAAAATGTCCGGATAGACGAGGGAACCGGATAATCGAACACTGATTATGCTGGATGAATCACGCATGCTGTATATCTGTAACCAGCTATTTTCTTCCGGATGGCGAGGGATCCGGATAAAAGAGGACCGGATAAGCGAGGTCTTACTGTATTACAAAACTTTGAATGCTTCAAGTATTCATTTCAGCCCTTGAAGCATTGTGCGTGTGTGTGTGTGTGTGCATGTTTGCACGCGCGCGCGCGTGTGTGTGGGTGGGTGTGCGCGTGGGTATGTATGTGTGTGTGCACGCGCGTGTATGTGTGTGTGTCTTTGTGTGTGTGTGTGTGTGTGTGTGTCTTTGTGTGTGTGTGTGTGTGTGTGTGTGTGTGTGTGTGTGTGTGTGTGTGTGTGTGTGTGTGTGTGTGTGTGTGTGTGTGTGTGTGTGTGTGTGTGTGTGTGTGTGTGTGTGTGTATCTATGCCTGTGTATCCCTGTGTTGCCGGTGTGTGTATGTGCAGATGAAGCACCCAGTGAGAGAGCAAAGCAAAGTATCAGAGAGAAGTGTGTCAGTTACCTGGATCGTGCTGAGAAGCTGAAGAAGCATTTGGCAGATCCCACCGGCAAGAGCAACAAGAAGAACAAACCAGTTGCCGATGGTTCCAAGTCAAGTGACAAGTAGGTTTCTATAGCGCTACCAACATGTGTATGAGCAAGAGTACATGAAAACCAGAGTGTGCAGCTTGAGGCCTTTTCTGCTATGGGTGTCTGTCACGGCGGAATTCCGTGATTACATCATTTTGGCGCAGATTTGAGGCGGGAAATGGCGTAGTGCGTATAACTGAGCTGCAGTTGTGCAGAAAGAGACCTGCTTGAATCCTGCTTGTACGCACTACATCACTAAAATGATGTAATCACGGAATTTCGCCGTGACAGCAACCCATCCGAGCTGCACACTCTGTTTTTCATGTACTCTTGGTATGAGTTAATGTCAGTGTATGTGTGTGCATGGAGGGCTCTTGGGAGGGGGGGGGGGGGGGGGGGGGGGGAGGACGTCTGTGTGTACGTTCATTGGTTTCTCTGTGAATTGAATGTGGAAGATGTTAAGGTGGCTGGGGCGGTACAACTTTTTAGGGGTCTTTTTGATCACATTTTGACTGCATTTTTGAGTTTATCGGCAAGGTGGAGATGAAATTTGAAAATGTTTCCTGGTGAATCTCTGGAGAAGAACCTTCTCTAGCTTCCTATAGTTTTATTTTTACTTTTGGACAAAATTTGAAAAAGTTTTATGAAAGGTCCGTGAAAAAATAACACGAACCTTTCATAAAACGTTTTCAATTTGTGTCCAAAAGTAAAAATTGAACTATAGGAAGCTAGAGAAGACTATTCTCCAGATATTCACCAGAAAACATTTTCAAATTTCATCTCTGCCTTGCGGATAAACTCAAAAATGCAGTCAAAAAATTCCCCAAAAAGTTGTACCGCCCCAGCCACCTTAAATATGCCTGAGCAAACATGGGATTAGGGGCCATTCATAATCGTCGCCATTTAACACAACCCTACAAAACATACGGTAGGGGGAAGGTACAATGGTTTGTGAGGACAAATGCCACTTTCCACTGTCCACATTCACAGTGTAATTTGCTCAGTGTGTGCCAGTGCCTTCCCTCACTTGTACATACCCTCACTTGTACATACTCTCACTTGTGCCTTCCCTCACTTGTACCTACCCTCTGGTAGCTTGCTTCGTCTTGAGACTTTTGACTAACTGCTATTGTTGTGTCAATAAACGCAAACACACGAGGTAGGGTTTGTGACTTATCTTTCAGAAGACAAAGAGAAAAGACCTCTTGTCCAGAGCAAAGGACAGGCGCAAACTGGTTGGCTTGTCTGCAGACACGAGCTGCGTGCTGACGGCTATGGTAGCCCCTTCACGGGAGGACACGGCACGCCTCAGCTTCAGCTGACCGACAGTCCTCTTAGATGCAGACGGACACATGGATAGGAAGTGACCGGTGCGTTTGCAGCCGTTGCATTTGCGATCCGCAGCAGGGCAGGGTCGCTTGCTGTGCGCGGTGCGGCCACAGTTGGGACACTTGTCCGGTGAGGGCTTGCTGCCAGATTTGGAATCCTTGGTTGCGGGTGCTCGAGCTTGCTTGGATGCCATTCCTTTCTGCTTCTTATAGCTGGAACGAACGGCACTCACGGACGCGTCTCCAGTGGACTGACTGGGGATACGTGACGAGGTTTGACTGGCAGCCTCCTCGGTGCGGCATAGGTCGACTCAGGTTGCCAGGGTTAAATCCTTCATTGCCAGCAGCTTGTGTCGAACGTCATCCTGCAGGATGCCGGTAACGATGAGGTCTCGCAGAATTTCACCTGTGTTAGCCTGGAGCGACTGCTGGCATGTTTGACACATACGTCCTGAGCATGTCGAACAGACATCCAAACCGGAGAAGTTGCACGCATGAAACAACTCCCTCAGGGATGTGTACCACGCGTCGAACGTCTCTCCAGGTTGTTGGGCACGGCGGTAAAATAATTCTATCCTGTCCAGCAGGGGATTGCGCTGGCGCCGGATGAACTTGCGTAGTTCGACCATGGCCTCCGGGACACCATGGGTATTTGGCACCACAATTACACCTTCACGCACGAAACGTCTAAGTTCCTCATCCAAGGCCTGCGCCTAAACGCGGCCATCCTAGTCTCGCGGGGCTGCACTGACACCGGGAGTAGTCCTCCCAGGCCTCGCTCCACGACACAAATTCGGCTAGATTCGCCGACGACAGTATGGGCCGATCCACAGCGACGGGCTTGGTGGATGGAGCAGGAGCAGACGAAGCAGGTCCACCCGTGCTGCTTGATGATCCTTGCGACATCGACTGCAACAGGGTTTGGAGCTGCACATCGCGCTGGGCAGATGCTTGCACTTGAGCTTGGATCAGCTGCACAAGTTGGTTGATGTCCGGCTGTGACTTAGCACCATCCGCCATGGCGAATTACAGCTATCGACATCGTACTACAAGGCTACGAAAAAAATTCTAGAACTTCGAAACGGACATTTTCGAAGCGAAACGAAAACAGGCAGAGAGCAACACTACAGGTGGGCTACTCTGCAACTGCAATGGAACTACTAGTATACTAAGACTACAGGTAAAGTAAGATGTTCACTGCGCCATGTTGTGTCAACAAACGCAAACACATGAGGTAGGGTTTGTGACTTATCTTTCAGAAGACAAAGAGAAAAGACCTCATGTCCAGAGCAAAGGACCGACAGAAAACCGTGATGCATGTGTGTACTAGTATGCGTACACACGCGAGTGCAAAAAGGGCAATGCGTACAACAGGCAGAACATAATGGATACACCAGCTAGCAGCTGTGAAATAGTCATTCTTCGAAGTAACATTCATTCACATCATTTTGATGGTTTTTCGTGTGTTTTTTCTTGTATTGCTGTTGTTGTGTCATCACAGCAAAGAGTCTGATGACGAAGAAGACGAGCAGAGCAAAAAGCTGCGTGGCCAGTTGGCCGGCGCTATTGTTATGGAGAAGCCAAACATCCACTGGGACGACGTTGCCGGCTTATTGGCCGCCAAGGAAGCACTGAAGGAGGCTGTCATTCTGCCCATCAAGTTTCCGCATCTGTTCCAGGGTGGCAAGAGAACTCCATGGAGGGGAATCCTTCTGTATGGTGTAAGTATTTGAATAGAGACTCGCATCATGCCTGATTTGATCCCACGATAAACTTCTTGAAGGGCATGTGCTGTATTTTACCGTATTTCCGCGCGTATAAAGCCATGGCGTTATAGGTGAAACATCGCTGTTTTGGACCAAATTTTTGGAGAAAATAGCCTCGGTTTTAACGCCATGGCGCTAAAAGTGAGAGACGCTTACATGCAAAAAAATCGGCAGAATATGAACTTCGAGTACTCGTACGGTGCCGTTGCACGTTCATGTCGAGCATCTATGTACTTTCAATTTTCCCTGAAAATTTCAAATTGTGAACCTATTGTGTACAAGGTGGCATAAAAACTTGTGTGAAGGTGTGGTGGCGGTATGGCATGTGACAGTGGGGATGGGTACATGTAGAGAGAATCACCGCTACTGTAGCATGTAGGTTCACTGAAAGAATTGAATTCACCTTTAACGCCGGATGCAACTTCCTCCACATTGAATTTTGTTCACTTATAACGCCATGGCTTTATAAGTGAGGGTGGCCTTATATTCGGATATAACGCCATGGCTTTATATGCGCGGAAATACGGTATATTGTATTGCTGTGTGGATGCACTGAGTTTGCCCTGATTTCTTGTTCTGCATCTGTGTCCCCTGTCCTATTCCGCAACTCACTACTTACTGGATACTAGTACTGTTAGAGTGTTAGCGCATGTACTTCCCAAGTATCACCACAGTAGTGATAGAACGGATCGTGCACTTTCATCCTGGTCTAATTTTATCCTGACTTATAGCACGGAAGATCTGCGCTGCATGTTCCACGTGGTCAGGTGATATGCAGCCAGGCCATGTATTGACCGTCTGCGCGCTGTGTGTTCTATGTGGTCAGGCGATCTGCAGCCAGTTGAGTTCATGGATCAATCACTTACACAACTGCTAGCCATGCATACATTATCTTGTCAGTGCAAGCTGATCTTGTGTTGTGATCAGTCAAGCCTTCAGGTCTGATTGTTTCTTTTTCTTTTTGTGGTGTCGCTGGTATCGTTGCTCCAGCCTCCGGGTACTGGTAAATCCTTCCTGGCAAAGGCAGTGGCAACAGAGGCGAATAACTCCACTTTCCTGTCAATATCGTCATCTGACCTTGTGTCGAAATGGCTGGGAGAGAGTGAAAGGCTTGTGAAGCAGATGTTTGAAATGGCACGTGAGAAGAAGCCGACGATCATCTTTATTGACGAGGTTGATTCACTGTGTGGCAGTCGAAGTGAGAATGAGAGTGAATCAGCTCGTCGCATCAAGACCGAATTCCTTGTGCAAATGCAAGGTAGGGAAATGATGTGTGTGTATACGCGTGTGTGTGTGTATGTGTAGCACAAGTTGCTATGGCTTCTGCTGTAGCATCGCCTCCGGTGATGGGCGTCCAATGGTCCAATGGTGTGTATGTGTACGTGTGTATACGTGTGCGCGCGCCATATGGTGCAGTGGTATGTGCAGTCTATTTCCAATCGAGAGGTTGTGGATTCAATTCCCGACAATTATGGTCGCACACATCTTTCTTCTCTTTCTCAGTCTCCTCCTGACTTTTCTTTCATTCTCCTGGGTGGTTGCCAACAACCAGTGCATGTTGGAGTATGTGGTGTGATGTGTGTGTGGGGAAAAAAAGAAAAAGAAAGACCAAAAAGTAGGGATTCACTGGCCAGAAAAAAAACACTTCAAATCTCTGTGTGGTGTACACCAGGCTGAATAGTGGCAGTCAATTACTCAGCCTTGCAAGCTGTTGAATGGTGCTATCCCAGCACAAGTTGCTATGGCTTCTGCTGTAGCATCACTAACATTGCCTGTGACGGTTGCCATCTTAGGTCTGAGGTGTGTGCGTGTATCTGTGTCTGTGTGTGTGTCTGTGTCTGTGTGTGTGTCTGTGTCTGTGTGTTTAGTAATGTAATGGTGTAGTATACATTATGTCATATTCTGTTTCTTTGTCTCCCTGTCTCGCTCTCTCCCCTGCTCTGTGTCTGCCTGTGTATGCCTGTGTCTGTATCAGGTGTGGGCTGTGACAACGATGGTATTCTTGTGCTGGGCGCAACCAATATTCCCTGGACACTGGACTCGGCTATCCGCCGTCGGTAAGCTGGCTGGTGTCTTACATCATACGTATCTGTACTAACGTTACGATCATCCCAGCCCTATGCAATGTATGCAATGTATGTACATGTGCTTCAAAGTAGCCACATCGGGTGTTGCTGTACGATCTTGATTATTTGTATGCAGCATTGCTTGTTGTATTCTAGTCCATTTCGTGGGTTTTTTTCCTGGGTTATATTGTGCTTGCACAGTTTTGAGAAGAGAATCTACATTCCTCTGCCTGAGGCGGGAGCGCGAAATATCATGCTGCACAAGTCGCTTGGCGACACGCCCACAACGCTGGTGGAAGCTGACTTCCTGAAATTAGCCAAGAACACAGACGGGTGAGTGTTTCGAGTCTTTGTACTGGTGCGATTTGGGGACTGTGTGTTTGCAAGCCTTTTGAGCACAATTTTCTGTAAAGAGGGACATACTTGGTGTGTGTTCTCCATATGGTTATGTGTACGGCAGAAGCTTTTTTCTCTGTCTCTTTTTTTCTTCCCTCGTCGCTACCTTGTCATTGGGAAGAAATTCCCGTTTGGATTTGCGAAGTAAAAATAAATAAAAATAAACACAAGCGCATGCGTTGTATGTTCCCGGAGGACAAGGTGTTGGTATACAGTGAAACTAGCATAAATCTTAGTTCACCGCTCAAGGGGCCTTAGAAACCAGGTCCCTGTCCCTGTGTATGTCTCCTTATCCAGGGTCGTTTGACTGGAAATAACATGCCTTGGTCCTGGTTATAGTGCTCTTCTGTGACAGGTGACCGCCTTATCAGAATAGTTCCATTTGCAGAGTATTTTGTGAAGATATAAGACTAGTGGAATGCTAATGGCTCATACAGTTCTCTCTCTTTCTCTCTCTCTCTCTCTCTCTCTCTCTCTCTCTCTCTCTCTCTCTCTCTCTCTCTCTCATTCTAATAACACAGATACTCTGGTGCTGACATCAGTATTGCTGTAAGAGACGCCATTATGCAGCCTATTCGCAAAGTGCAACACTCAACACACTTCAAGAAGGTGAGTGTACGCAGTATCAACGTGTACCGTCCATCGTATGGCCCTCCCAGTCTGGTGTATGCTTCCGGTATTATCATGTTCAGAGCTGTGAGGGTCTTCTTCGTCCTTTTTCTGGAAACCCGAACATGTGTGCACTCTTCTCTCTCTCATGCCAAGTCAACTAGTCCTTGCCACAATGCGGCTGTGTAACTAAACGCAGGGCTCGTGCGTACACACCGCAACTCGTTGCGCAGTTCTGGAGCCAGTAGTCGGATGTAGCTGGCCGGCACTGTATCGTGTTTAGGAAATTGCTTGAATTCTCCATGCTGTTCCGAGCTGTGAAGCTAACATGAGGTATTCAGGTCGGAGGTCATGTGTGTACTGTCTTATGAACACACTTCATTCGTATCTTGTTCAGTGCGACGCCTCTCTGGCTCTTTCCTATTTCTTCTGCTACCTGTGCTACTTCAAAGTACCTCCATGTATGGTTGGGGTTCACCAGATGTGTTGACGTGTCTGTGTACATGTTCAACTGCCTTTGTTGATGTGTACCGGGTATGTATGTCCATGTGTGTGTGTGATTGACTGGATATGTTGACGTGTGTGTATGTGTGTGTATGTGTGTGTATGTGTGTGTGTGTGTGTGTGTGTGTGTGTGTGTGTGTGTGTGTGTGTGTGTGGTGTGTGGTGTGTATGCAGACACGTGGTCCCAGTCCAGTTGATTCTAACCTGATTGTGGATGATCTCCTATCACCGTGCTCACCAGGTAAGACACAGTGCGTATACCGGTATACCGTTACCAACTCACTGTTCAATATTCCCTTTTCAATCCCTCAATCTTAGGACTACTAGTATTCAGTATAATGTGTCTGTTTTGGTGACAAGCAATAGCTGCCTTGTTAGGTTTGCTGATGGCGGTACCAGTGTTTGCTGCTGCTGCTGTTACGGCTGCTGCTACGGCTGCTGTTGTTACGGCTGCTGTTGCTGCTGTTGTTACGGCTGTTGCTGCTGCTGCTGCTGCTGTTGTTCCTGCTGCTGCTGCTGCTGCTGCTGTTCCTGCTCCTGCTGCCATGTCCTCTTGTCATAATCTGGGCCAGTCAGGGTGGGTCGAGAAGCTGCGCAATACACCCGTTTGCACAGCGGTATACATGAATACAGGAGGTCTGATGCTTTTTTTTACTGTAACTTTACACGCTGGGCGATCATCACACAGCATTTTCATCATCAGACCGCAATGAAGGTCATAGTAAAGCAGTCTCTTGTCTCCTGTATTTGTCTGTCCTCTTGCCATGGCGCTCTTGCCGATTGTTGCTTCTGTGCCAATACTTCTTGGACTTATTTTGATGTGGGGACGTGTTTCCATGTACCGGAATATTTTATTGAGAGCTTTGTAGACAGTCTAGGAGACTTACCGGTGCTGGAAACGCTGAGCCTTCTGTCTCGGCTACTCTGATCTCCTCCGACACAGGCAGTGGGTGGGAAGATGTGGGGAGATGTGCTGACGTTGTCTGTACTTAACTTACTGTAACTGTATGCTGTGTGTTGGTGTCTGGCCAGGTGACTATGGTGCAATTGAGATGAACTGGATGGATGTGCCTGGAGAGAAGCTACTTGAGCCGCCGGTCACTATGGTTAGTTCGTACTTGGGGTGAAACGAGTATCTATTTTGACCAATCGATCACTCATTCATAATATTCGATCGAGTATCCGATTATTTCGAGTATTTTATCAATGTTCAAAAGCGCCAAATTTGTGAGTTCTCGTTCGGAAGAAAGTGAACATAGAACAAAAGTCGCCAACGTCTTGTACAGAGTGTAAAGACTAACGATTTTCATCAGTATTTTCTTATCTCATAACTAAATAACTAACGTTACTTGCCGTGGTGATCGCATCGTCCGAGTCATAAAATACTGACGCAAAGGCATGCAGAACGCATGCATACCAATGGACGAGCGGTACAACAAAAGCTTTTGAAAATAGAATGCCAATAAGAGTGCAAAATTTCGAATACTCGCTCGTTTGAAATTTTCGATCGATTACTCGAATATTTGAACTAATCGTTTCACCCCTAGTTCGTACTCAACTGTTAGATTCTCGGATTACTGGTGTGCTGTACCACTTTGTCTGCAAGTTATGTCAGCTAGTCTCTGTCTTTCTCTCTCTCTCTCTCTCTCTCTCTCTCTCTCTCTCTCTCTCTCTCTCTCTCTCTCTCTCTCTCTCTCACACACACACACACACACACACACACACTCTACTCTACTCTAAGCATGCTTTGTTTTCTGCTTCCACTGTGCACAGGATGATATGTTGAATGCGTTCCGTCGAACAAGACCCACAGTGAATGAGGACGATCTCAAGCAGCTCACCAAATTCACATCCGACTTTGGTCAGGAGGGCTGATTATGTATGGACGTCTGTGTACTTGCCTTCAATCTGCTGGTGTTCTGTGCACACCCCTCTGCATGTGCAAGGCATCTAAGAGTGTTACTGTATGCCAGCATCGATCATGTGCACGTAAGTGCAGCCTCAGCGCGTGCACCACCTGCGCAGAAAAATACATCCAGATGACCGACACCTCTGTATTCTCTGCTTACTCGTTGTCAGTAGAAGGAGTGTTGTAGCTGTTCTGCTGCTCCTTGACAGGTCAGTGGTGACTGGCAGATACAGTTCTACTCTCACCTGTCCCACATGAGCTCCTCTTTTGCTTGAGAAGGACAAGAAGTCACTCTCTCTCCTTCCTTGCTCTCTCTCTCTCTCTCTCTCTCTCTCTCTCTCTCTCTCTCTCTCTCTCTCTCTTTTTCTGTCTTTCTTTCTTCTGGTCCTACCTCATCTGGGTTGTCTGGCGTCTGTCCTCAACTCTTCGTTCGTGGTGTGTGCGTGACTTGAAAACTCTGGCCCGCATCATCGGAAACATATGCAGCTACTAGTTTACTCCGTTGGACTGGATTGTGTTTGCCCTCCCTGGTCTAGCTAAGATTTTGACTTACAAGATATCAGGCAAGTATTTTGTTAGCTCGATTGCTCATTAGCCCGATAATGTGTATTGTGAGACTGCTCCTTCCATGTACATAGCTTCTCTTCTGTGTATATACTATTTTCTGTGCATTGTCTGAGTCAGTGTCGCGTTGCCGTTTTGTTTTTATTCTATATATATATTTTTACCTTGCTGCTAATACTGCGTGCTGCTTGGACCTGGTTGTCTGCCAGTGTACGTATGTTGCGTAAACGCGACGGTGAGCACGGCGGGCAGTGTGTTAGGAAACCGCGACCGCACACAGAGCCCGTGAACATTTTTGCGTGCTTATCACCTCCGTACCCTACCACGAACATCGACGACAGTTCACGGTTCCGTCCACACTCAATCGCTCTTTTTTTCCATTCCTATCTGTTACCCGCTGTTTTTGCTGTTGCTGCGCACATTCTAATTATTGCACACACAGACAGGCGGACACAGTTTCTTCTCTGAATTTGATGTTTGTTTTCAGTCCGGTGCGCTGGGCTGCGCCGTGCTAACTTGTTACTTGCTTTGCCTGCGTGTGTTGCACTGCCTGTATGTACTGATGTGCCCTGGTCCGTGGAGTTGTTTACATTATCCCTGGCCCCTCTGATGTGAAAGTGCCCGCCTGGTGGTCAAGGCCACTTTCTGGCGCGATCCCCTGCTTTAGTCATCGACATTATTTTAGTTTTGTTCCAAGCCAGCCATGGATTTAATGATATTACTGTGTCAGAGGAGGTAGGCTTCTCTGACCGGAAACTCTGTTGAACTTCTGTTGTTGCCGAGCCCCTTCTCTTGTCACAGTGTGTGTAGGATCCATGCAAATGTATGTAGGTTGGGTGCAGCATGCAAAGTACGCTGTAGTGGACATTGAAATCCACTGAGAAGTCAGCCGGGGCGCTGGCTGTGAGCACCCCAACACTGCGGGTATGCGCTAAGCAAGTAAGGCCGCCGCCGGCCCCGGGGCGCTGGCCGTGAGCACCCCAACACTGCGGGTATGCGCTAAGCAAGTAAGGCCGTTGGCCCCGGTCATTCCACCGGGTTTCTATGCCCGCATCAGTAACAACGCTCCTGATATGATCACGATTGTGGGAATGATATTCATTTGGACTGAGATGGAGTGTTCGCACAAGCACTGCATGGCGTAAGGCCCGCGCTAGACCTAGTCTGTGTTGTCGTTGACTTGATAATTAGTATGTTTTAGCCATGGTCAATAGCCCAGAAGTACCTGTCCTTACCGTGTGCAATACTCACTGCTGCATGCCACTGGTTAACCTTTGTTCACCATTGTGACACTTGTTGGAGGGGGGGGGGGGGGGGGAGTGCTATAACTCTGAACTCTGTACTGTGCGCAGCGGATGTCACCAAACGTGTCCATACTACGCAGCTCTGACCAAGGAAGCTGGCTTGCACCGCTGCTATTTATGGCCATGCACGGCGGACACAGAAACACAGGTCATGCAGTGCACCACCTGACAATAACATCAGCAGTACAGGGCGATCAAGATAAGATTTTGTGATCGAACTCCTGATTGTAGTAAGTCGAAAAGTCGATGGCTTGATTATAATTATAACGATGGAGGTGAGCATAGCCACACTGGAAACAAGTACAAGTACATGTACTTGGAACTACAGTCGATACTGTCATACTGTCATACTGTAAAATAATAGCCAGTTTACACTGGAAATCATCTGTGAGAATCAAAACGATGAAGCTAGGTGTCGGTAAAGCAAAAGCCATGATACAAAACGGCCCTAGACTAACTTAGTCACACACCTAGACACGCACCTGGGTATGGCTACCACACACACACACGCACACGCACACACACACACATCTAGAGAACATGCTAACACTAATAGAGAATATACTACATAGTAGTAGTGATGATAACGAAAGTGCTGGCAGGACAGCCCTCTTGTTTACATTCTTCACAGGATAATATCAGTTCTCACTGCTCATAGAGTCATAGAGCTGATGCCAGTGTAGAAGTTTGTTGCACGTTTCTAGTGATCAGGTTTATAGTACTGTTTTGTTTGGTAGCACATCAAGTTAGTTAGTTACACATCACTATGGTTACCATGGATAGGGCATTGATAACCATGGCAACTATTACGCATTCGTGTATCCATTACGGAGTACACAGGTATGATTGGCAGATAGAGTCACGGAGAATGCTATACATATCATAACTGGACAGAGCTGTTGCTCGAAATGCCGGGTCTCGCTGCCAAGAACAGTGCAGTGCATCCACACACACACCCACACCCACACACACACACACACACACACACACACACACACACACACCCACACCCCCACACCCCCCCCCCCCCCCACACACACACAGAGTAACAAACAAAAACACAGTTACCAATCACGCACACACACGCACACAAACACACACAAATAATTAAATTAAACAGAAGGGTGGGAGTGGGGAGAGGCGAGCACAAGAGGAGAGAGAGAGAGAGAGAGAGAGAGAGAGAGAGAGAGAGAGAGAGAGAGAGAGAGAGAGAGAGAGAGAGAGAGTGAGAGAGAGAAGAGAGAGAAAGCGAGAGAGAAAGCGAGAGAGAGAGAGAGAGAGAGAGAGAGAGAGAGAGAGAGAGAGAGAGAGAGAGAGAGAGAGAGAGAGAGAGAGAGAGAGAGAGAGAGAGAGAGAGAGAGACAGAGAGAGAGACAGAGAGAGAGACAGAGAGAGAGACAGAGACAGAGAGAGAGAGCGAGAGAGACGGGTCTGCCAGGGAGAATACTTTGTCAATGGAGCTAGGCCGTGACACCACCCTCGCCAATAACAACAATACAACTGGAGACTTGCTTTGTGTACTCAGCAGGCGTGTACTGACCCGCATACTCACACTCAATGTTTCTCTAGGCTGGGTAACATTCATGAAGCCTTGCATCCCCCGCTCACTTGCATTGGGAGCAGTCATACAGCCGTGATCCATCCTGCTCACTTGCACATTTGGACCGGCCGTCACTCAGTCCAACTCGTACACTTGTACAAGTTGTGCCTGAGAGGTGCCGCTGGGTGACAGCGAGAGGGCGCTAGTCTCTTGTTGCGACGCTGCTGCTGCTGCCAGGGGCGGTGGCTGTGCCTGCGAATCCCGCCACCGACGCGTTGCCGAGCCTTCCGTTTCCACTTCTCTCCATTCAGCAGCATACTCGTCTCCACTGTCGACGGGCTGTGCCTGGGGCTGTACCTGGGGCTGTGCCTGGGTGTGTAGCTGCAGTGGTTGTGATAGAGATGCATGATGCACTGAGTGGTCGGCAGCCTGACCAGTATTCACGAGCTTATGTGTTGAAGGCAACAGGTGTACAGCGGAGGATCTAGGCACTTGCAGCCCGCTGCCACCACCGCTGGCAATACGTGGCGTACTGACCCCGGCTCGAGCCGAGCGAGCCCGGCTGCCAATGCTGCTTGTGCGCCGCGTGAGCATGCTGGGAGGGTCGAACGACTTGGCTAGGTCCACGGCGGCTCTCGTCTCATCAACATGGCCATGCTTGATAGCGTGCAGGCGGCGCACATGCTCGCTAAGCTGAACGGCAGAGTAGGTGGCGTGGAACTCGTCGCACATGAGCAGTATGATGTCGCGCGCTTCGTCTTTGTTCCCGCCCACCTCGTACCACTGGTCGACTTTCTCGTCCGTGGCAAACTGATCGGTGCACTCTGAAAACGCGCCGTCCGCTTGCGCTGACATTCGCCGCAACCCCCGCTTACGCGAGAACCTGAACTCAGACGGTCCCAGGCGACAGGCGTCTGCTAACAGTCTGCACTGTGCCGCCTCCATGTGGAAAAGACGCGCCCGTCGCTCCTGTCGACTCTGCACTGTGGTTGAAGGGCGAGCGTGAGTATTCCGCAGGGAGTACGACCTCATTCTGTTACGCACTCTGGCACCCCGGTGTGGTGCGTTCACTACGGGCTCTGCAGGTGCGAGGGCTTGCGAGTGCGAGTGCATCATGGCTGTGGTCACATCGTTTTCTTGTCTAGTTCCCTGCGCTTGGGTTAGCATGCTGCTGTTGTTGTTGTTGCTGCTGCTGCTGTCGGTGGGTGGAGCCGGTGCCTGTGCAGGGTAATCATGGCTCTGACGGTGTAGTGTTCGTGGAGACCGTAATGGTGGTGCCGATGGTTCCTCGTCTACATTTGCTCCTAAAGCGACTTGGCAGGAGTGAATAGGCGGAGATCCGATGTGCTGTACTGGTGATGATGAGCGACGCTGTCCAGTGGTCAGTGCTTGACCTGACCTACTGGTAGTGGGCACAGCAGTGATTGCTGCTGCTACTGCTGACTGCTGATGCACTGTTGCGTGTGCTGCGCTTTCCCGCTCCACGTCAGCGACAGCTAAGGCGGCAGGCGGGTGTCGGCGCATTGTTGCCAGCGTGGGCTGCTGCTGCTGCGACGGTGGTGGTGGCGTGACTTGGCGGCGGTATTGCACGGGTCGGAAGAAGACTAGTGGTTGAGAAGCAACGCCTGGCGCTGCTGGTCTCGGGCTTGCTACCAATTGCTGCTGCGGCTGCTGTGGTGGTCTGACATGGCCGTTCAACACGGTCATGGGCTGGGTAAGCGACGACATGGCGTGTGCAACTGTACTGGTGCTTACTGCTGCAAAGCGGCTGCCATGGGCGTGTTGTTGCTGCTGCTGCTGGTGTGCTTGCATGTGTTGGTGAGGGTGGTGGTGTGCTGCTGGTGGATGTTGGTGCAATCGATCCGCACGTTGCTGCACTGCTGCTGCCGTCGTGGCTGCCACCGCCGGGTCAATGCTTGACATACGCACAGCATGGCCACTGCTTGGTACTGCAGCCGCCCCTGCTGCTGCTGGTATCCGCTGTGCCTGCTCACCACCGCCCCCGACCATGTGAGCATGACCGTATTGGTGTACCAGAGCACCACTCGGGGTGGCATACAAAGTATGAACAGCTCCAGCAGCAGCCGCCGCGTTGACGCCGACGTACTGCTGTTGCTGTGCTGGATGAGCGGCACTTGCCCTGGACATTGCGTTCGCACCCAGCTGGACACCAAGCCCTCCGCCGCCATGGCGACGGTGTGCCCTGTTGTTCGTGCGTCGGCGCGGATGCACTATAGCTTTCTTCAGGTTTTTACCCGACTCATACACGGCCTCAGCACGGTCTGTCAGCTTCCAGTAGCAGCTCGTCGTTGGCAAGTCCACCTTGTAGCGCGGTACTTTCACAAAGCAGTCTCTGTGAAGAGACAGATTATGGCGTACGGCGTTCTGCCAGGCGGACTTCTTGTCGTTGGAGAAATACGGATATGTGCTCTGAATACTGTCGTAGATCTCAGTCAGAACCATCATCTTGCGCGGCGACGACATTATCGCGTGGGCGATCAGGTTCATGAACGTTTCTTGCGGCCGATCATACTTGGATCCCCCATGCACAGTGGATGGGGCACTGGCCACACCACTGGTCACGGTGCCATTGTCATTGTTCACACTATTCGAAACAGACTCACCAGTTCCAGCTGACTCCGCTACCGCAAGTTGGCTAGTTGAGGAGTTCGAGCCGACACCGTTGCTGACACTGGCGACGTCATTGGCGTCCACTGTAGCATCGCTAACTCCCTGCGCGCTGTGTCGACCATCGTCGTACGCCGCAGTGCCCGTCGTACGCTCTATTGACGCAAACGAGTGGGCAGCTTCACCGCCAGTCTCAGAGAAATCCATTGTCTCTGATGCGCCATCGCCATCGCTCAAATCCACCTCATCGTCCTCCCGTTCATACTCGATACTGATCGTCAAATTGTTTGGCGATTCGTCGACGTCGTCGTCTCCGTCAGTGATGTGCACGTGAAGACTGTTCGCAAAAGCGCCTTCCGTGTCCTGCAACGCTTCGCCTTGTTCCGACTGGAACGTTTGCTGTTGATGCTGGTGCGAAATACTACCATCGTCCGATAGGTTCGCACTACTACTACTAGTACTAGCAGCACCATTGCCATCATTATCCATCGCATCACTGCTACCCTGGGCCTGGTCACCGCCCGTACCCGCCATCACATCCATTTGCCTGTCGCCTGTCTGAACTGGAAGCTATCTGAGTTCTGTGGACGTCGTTGAGAGAAAAAAGGCGACGGCCGTAAACCGATGCACTCCGCACTGACTGCTACCTACAAGTCCAAACAGTAAACAATCATTTCACTCTTCGCAGAAAAACAATCGCTGGAAAGCCGAACGCTAGCAAAGTACTTTCTCTGCGGGTGCCGAAAATTAACGATCCTGCGCCGATTCCAGGCTCTACCCCCAAACAAAACAACAGCCACAACAACAAGAATCGCCTTCGCGATCGCATTCTCTTCCTATGGCATGTGTTGGCCGTAGCTCATAGCTCGTGCTCATTCGAATGTTGACTGTTGTCTGCATAGATCCACTTACTGGATGGAGTGCACTTCCTTGTCAATCCATGATGTAGCTGCAGGCGTGAGCGCATCCGACAGCCAAATGCACAAACAATGTGAAACAAACTATCCCGCCTGATGACTTTTTCGGTAAACACAAACACGTGCAGGTTGTAATATTACTACGCCATGCACTCACCGACCGTGCACGCGTGTTCACTGACAGTCTGTGCACATAGTTCATGCCAAAAAGACACGTCATGTTCTGCTAGTACTAGTAGTAGTAGTACTGCTAGCTCGGGAGTCCGCACGCGCAGTACCATACTAGTAGTATCTGGCATTGGCCGACTGTCTGTCTTTTGACTTACTACTAGTACTAGTACTAGTATCTGTACGTAGTCGTAGATCTATGTACATGACTTTGTAGACTCCACTTCAATACCTGGCTATGCATGGTGTAGACCAGGTAGACATAACTCATAAGTCACATACTAGTAACACTCAACAGTCTGCTGACTGCATTACATGCTGCTGTGTACTAGTCAGTCAGTGACAGTGTAGCGCTAGCGCAGGTGGTGGCATGACGCGCACACTGCACTGGTCACTGCCATCATAATCATCAGTGTACTTGAAATAACAATAATAATTACAGTACAATCATGTATTGTTATTGTTGAGTTGCCTTTTCTACAGACAAAAAATAAAGAAGAGATTGGAAAACTTACTTTACTCTTCAAGAAAGAGATGTGCACGCACGTAGCTACGTAGATCTATAAAAATCATTGTACTGACTGCTGTACTATACTTGTTACATAGTCATTGTACATGCATGAATACGTAAACTGGCAAGAGTAAATATCCCCCTCCTCCCCCGGCATGCTGGGTATGGAACTCAGGATTATGTCTCTTGACCAGATAACGGTAAAGCGTGCACAAAACTCAAACAGTTCGTAAAAAACCCAGCCCGCGCTTTCATAGCTGCTTGTACTTGCATACTTATACATGAAGCAAGGCCAAGGGGGATTATGACTGTGATGTGCATGACAGGTACGGTGGGAAGCGAGATACCATGGATACATGTACCTGGCTAGGCCTAGCGCTTGGGTTTGGAGTGGAAACAAAAAATAATTGACGTCCAGGGAGTTGTTGCCGAATGTTGGAAATAGCCTCGGTCTTATCCTATTTTCGGAAGCCTGCTCGCAGTGCCTCTACTGCTCAAGCTTAGTAGCAGTCGACGGCCACAAATTTCAGAGTTCACGGAGAACAAGTAAATTTTCCCCGCCGTAATGGGGCTTTAGATCATTACGCTAATTGGTAATAACAGCTCGCTCGCTAGCTAAGATGAAGGCACAGCGCCTGTGGAATGAACGACACTTGCGCGACGACAAATCACCGCGCACGTAAGTTGGCTCCAAAGTGCGGATACATGTAGTACTAAAGCCGGCGCTCCATTTTCATGAGTCCTGGCGTATGCTAGGTGAAAGAAATACTCTCTCCGTGCATTGTGTCATTAGAAAATCCGACTGTTATAAAAAATATGTTGTTACTGGACCAGCATGCTAGTTATCATCCTCTCAGAAATTGCTATTGCAGTATTGCCTCACAGTAGAGTGCGTTAGTTTAGAGTCGAGTGGTAACATAGCGCGCTGGCGCTAGACCTTACGGAGCAGGTACCGGCAGTGCTACAGTACTTAGCGCTAGTGAAAGCGGAAGGGATATTCCCTCCTTGCATACGTGTACACTTGGGAAGTAGTTGGGTGCTACATGACTATTGAGTATTGTACATGATATACTGTGAAGTAAAATAAAGAAACAACAACAACGACAACTAATTTTTGTACTCATGGTATTGTCAAGGGCATGTATGGTAGCGCTCCTGCAGGCCATGAAATAATTTTAGAACAAATGTAAGCATGACACTCCTTCTCAGTTTGTAGCCAACACTCCGGACATGGCTGTTCATTGTCCAGTGCAGGCAAGCCACCGTAATCCTGAATAACGTGTAGTGCTTAAACAAATTTCCCATCCGCACCTTATCACCTTTCCCATCACCACCAACTCAGCATGAACCCATGCCACCACCCACAGCCCTCCATTCTTTATCCACTGACAATGTTGTTCAGAACAACGGAACGTCTGGAAAAGCAGTCTAAAACTCTATACGTATCTAATATTGACTGAGTACGAGGTCAGTATAGGAAATAAAAGCCGAGTAAAAGACCGAGGCGAAGCCGAGGTCTTTTACGAGGTTTTTATTTCCTATACTGACCAAGTACGAAGTCAATATTAGATTTATCACGACAAACAGTCCGTATTTCAAATTCCAAAACGATAACCTCATGAATCCCGGTTTCATGATTGCACAACCGTTGCACCACCACCTACTCATGCAGTGACAATGCTGCACTGGGCACCGTTCATCTGCGCAACCCTAAGCAGTCAAATATAAGCAGTCAATATAGCCCTAAGGAGTGAAATATGCAGGAATATTTGACTGCTTAGGTATGGCAAAAATCTATGTGAGTCAATACTAAGGGAGTGATAAAGTACTGTAAGACATGTTATTATAACGAGTCGCAAATTTAACGATTGTCCAAAATTCATAGGTTAACGAGAAGATATGTTAACGATCTTGCAGTATTCTGCCATATCCACACACAGCATATATGAAGCAGTACGGCCTCAACGGATCTTATTATAACGAAGAAATGTCATCTGTTAAAACGTTAGATTTGCTTCCTCGTTATATATACATGTCTTAGAGTATTTTGTTTGTACCAATCTTGGTGGGAAAAAGATGGAGATAAAAGAATCTTACTCGGTGACCTATCAGTTTTACTTTAGTACAGTGTGTATAGGAGTACAGTTTGGCTTGAATGTTAGTATTCGTTTCAAGGTGATACTAGAATCTCTTTGTGAACTTTAGGAGCAGATAATTCTTTTCAGTAGCTGCTCAGATCGACGGTCCCTGAATGACTTGTTTACAAGGTGGAGTGGTAAAGAGTTTCAGTAATAATTAGGTTAGGTGCCTCGGACCTTGAGAGGGGGGGGGGGGGGGGGTGCTGTGGATGCCGTGAATTGTTAAAAACACATTAAGTTTCGTGTCTGCCGTGGATATTGCTAAAATCATGCTGGCGGGGAACGACATTCGTACTCTGTGTGACCTTGGCACGCTCTATACAGATATAGAGTGATTTCACATCAGTTTGTCGTGTTTGGAAATTTGCGTAGAGTGCGATCATTGCATGTGGACAGTGGAACCAACATGGCCAACATCATGAGACCCATGCATGCGTGGGCTGAGTGGATTTGGAACCAGCACGGTTGCCATGTAATGCCTGTATATAGCCACGGGATAGATGTGCGTCATCTCTCCGGGACATGCAGCCTGCATGCTGGTTATCCAGAACTGGAGAAGTACGTGCACTGACACAGGTATCTCTTCCTGTTCCCTCTGTGCAGTATCTATGCTCTAACGTTCAGTCCGAATGGAGAGCGTCTGGTATGTGCCGCCGGGGCCAGAGTACTGGTGAGTCTGCACGTGTGTGTGTGTGTATGTGTGTGTTTGTGTGTGTATGTGTGTGTTTGTGTGTGTTTGTGTGTGTGTGTGTGTGTGTGTGTGTATGTGTGTGTGTGTGTGTATGTGTGTGTGTATGTTGATATGTGCGTGTTTGTGCATTTGTGTGTGTGTGTGTGTGTGTGTGTGTGTGTGTGTGTGTGTGTGTGTGTGTGTGTGTGTGTGTGTGTGTGTGTGTGTGTGTGTGTGTGTGAGTCACGGTGTGTTTGTACACATGTGTTTATGTGTGAGCGCTTGCACGCCTGCATGTGCGTCTCTGCCGTGCTGCCACATGTGAACATGTGCAAAAATAATAATAAAAACATACTTCCCACAGTTTGCAGTCCTTGAACCTATAAGATGAAAGCAGGGTTCACAACTTGACACATTTGTAAACAATGCCAAACCAAGTTAGTCTATCTGCTGCAGATAGGAGAGGGCTCTCCACGGAGAGATCTGCTGCCTTCAGTTGAGGTCGTGCTGAATTGTAGCTGTCCCATCGTAATAGCGATCGGCCACGCTTTGAAAAAATCTCTTGTAGTGATGGCTGGTTCCAGGGCTTGATCCAGTTGGATTTTGCACCCTCTCACACCACACGGCCAAACCATAGTAGCCTGCACCACGGGCCTATGGCACTCGCTGGAAATTGCTTGGTTCTTGTGTGCAAGTTATTGTTTGTGATCTGTTGTGCGTAGACAATGTACACACGTATGGGTAGTTTCCTCCCTCGCCATTACTCTTTTGTCAAGGTTGTCGTTCAGCACTTTGGACAGAGTCGTCTACCCCCGGTAGTATGATATCGTTTAAAATACAAACCTCCTTAGTATACAACCATCAGAAGCATCCCCAGACGCCTGAACCACGTGCATTCACTGAGTCTGGATAGTAGATAATGCTCGTTATAGGAGGAAAAATTGGAACCCCGGGGTTGCCTAGTAACAGGGGTAAACCTGTAGTTGGCTAGAGAGCAGTATCTTATTTTGGTGACGCAGCCTCTTGGCAAAAGAGAAAAGACCAAGGAACTACAAGTTACGCTATACTGTCCACTAACACCACCAGTAACTTGTAGGTCCTTGATCCTTTCTCTTTTGTATAAATTAAAACTTGGCTCTCCATCCGAGCCTCTAGGCACTATGTCATCATACTGGCTTTCGTTGTGGTGGTCGTTGTCACTGCTGCGTCTGTGCACTGTTGCTGTTGCAGGTGTATGAAGCTACGAAGGGCGCTCTAGTTGCCAACTTGCAAGCCCATCGTGATGAAGTCTATGCCTTGTCATACTCTAAAGATGGTAAGAACGAATGATAGATAGATCTAGGTAGACAGAGAGAGAGAGAGAGAGAGAGAGTGTGGGAGAGGGAAAGCAAGATAAGGATGGGGTGGAAGGGGGCGTTCTTTAAACTTATGGAATCAGTATTTTATGTGTGTGTTGAAGTAAGTACAGCTGTACCTCTCTCAACCTTGCAAAGAATGTTTTCCGAAGAAAAGTTCCCCAAATATTTGTATTTACAATACGACAATGTCATGATCAGTATGGAAACCCTTTTAATAAAAAGCCGGGTGATACGGGTGTTAAAGATAGGATTTGAAAAGTTGGTGTCTCGAACCAAGCTTCAGTGGTATGGTGGTTATGCAAGTGGAAATGCCCAGTTTTGAGAGCTGTTCTATGCAGGATGATTGTCTATTGTAGTGTGGCAGTTGATTGATTGCACTGTGTCGCCGGGGCATGAAATTCAGAATCCCAATCACCCCGACCGAGGGTCTTGAAACTAACTCACCATGTCACAGTCAGCCGGGTCAGGGTCATGAGTCACACAATGATGACATATGCATCCACTCATATGCATCCACTCCAGTCCAGTGCGTGTATGGATACATACACGTCAGTGCTGTACCCTGCACAGCATGGTTGACACATCCGCCGGTAGTGACAGGGCCGGGCCCTTATGGCCGCCAGGGACCCACTCTTGCTACAGAAACAAAGTCACACAAGCATGTGAAGTGAGGGGCCTAGCCACCCTCATGATACTCATGTTGTCATGGTGATATGGATCAGTGCATGAGTACATGAAACCTTGAGGGTGTAGCTTCTGACTATTTCTGCATGGGTGTCTGTCACGGTCGAATTACGGGATTGCATCATATTTGGTGCAAATCTGAGGTGGGAAGTGGTGTCCATGTAGTGCGTACAACTGAGCTGCAGCTGTGCAGAAAGAGACCCGCTTGAATCTTGCTGGTACTCACTACATCAATAATTAATGGTGTAATCCTGGAATTTTGCTGTGACAGCAAGCCATCAGAGCTGCACACTCTGGCGGTCATGTACTCTTCTTGATCAGTGCCATTAGCACTAGCGCACTGTTGTTGTTGTTGTTGTTGTTGTTGTTGTTGTTGTTGCTGCTGCTGCTGCTGCTGCTGCTGCTGCTGCTGTTGTTGTTGTTGTTGCCATTGCCGTGTTGGTACTTGTTGCTATCGTCCAGGCCGTTTTTTTGCATCTGCCGGCAAGGACAAGCAAGTGATTTGCTGGTCGTCGGTGACATTGGATGGCAAGTTGCGCTATAAGTAAGCGACTGTAGACATCTATTCAGTCACTCACAAGACAGCCATTGCGCTAAACAGATCTTCTTTAGTTCTCTATCAGAAGTGCGCCATGTCATCTCTCGCCGGCTATACATAAAGTGGTACAAGCACGTGCATGCCTGCACGTGCGTACATAGTACTACATACAACTGCATGTACGATATTTACAGCGACCACCGGATGTGCTTATTGTGTTTGTGTTCCTAGGACGATGTCGCTCATACTGATCTTAAACCGGATCAAGCTCAATGCTCTCCCACTGTGAAAGTCTCCTGATCCGTGCTTCAGCATGAAACTCGTGTGGCTGTGCATTTCACAGGATCATTGTAAAAAACCTTGAGCAAAATGCTATTTTATAGCAAAGAAAAAGACCAAGGAACTACAAGCTACACTAGTATGTCCACTAACACCACCAGTTACTTGACAATCAGCTCATGCGATAACATCGCACGACACTGACCAACGGTACTGACGTTCTACAACTAACTGCCACTCAGCTCTAGCACGTCTTGGATGCGCACTCCAACAGCCTTCCAACTTGGAAGGTTCTAAGTTTTAGCAATAATGTACGCAAGCGGAGGTCCCTGGTTCGAGTCCTGGTGGTGGCAGTCCATTTTTTCTTCAAACTTTTCCCGTTTGCGTCTTTCCCTCAACCAGTGGATAAGTAATCACATGGGATACTACTATGTACTTTAATGTGCGTTGTCCTCTTCTGTACACCATTGTGTTCTTTGCAGCCACCCTGACTCGCTTCAAGCAGTGGAGTTCAATCCCCAAACTGGACAGCTGGCGTCATGCAGCTGCACCGACCTCGGTACGTCGTCAACGCCATCTTCTTTGCATCATTGCGGCTATCTCACCACGAAATCAATGCGTGATGATAGTGTCATGACTGAGGAGCAGCGGATACATTCCTCACCATGCTTGCATCGATTATTTGAATGTCTGTTGTGATGCCGGCATTGTGTCGGTGTGCACAGTATCATCCCGTTCACCCGAACCCAATATACTTTAGGGTTGTTCCAACAGAGTCTTGAGGCAGGGACATTGGACACAACACGGTCACTACCGTGTTGACCGTGCCACTGTTTGCCCCAACTGCCCCGTGAACCAATAAAATGCACTGATTTGGGCTCGAAATTTCCAAACGTTTTGGCTCAGCCACCCCTCTCCTACGAATCGATTGTACTTCACATGGCGGACCGTACCACACTAAATTACTTTGCGACGCCCCTGTGAGGGATTTGGTGTCAACTAACAGAACCCATCCAGTGAGCTTGAATGGGCTGACAAAGGCAGTTTAAGCATGCAGCCTGAAGTTCACCCCTGACTGAGCATGACGTGGTTATGTGCTCTGACCCATGGAAAGGGTAGCGAACACGGCTCATTTTGATGAAAATATAACCTCATGCTCAAGGGTTGACATAATTAAGGGGTCGTCCGCAATTATCGAAAGTTTTTTCCAATCCGTAGTAGCTTCAAATTTTTCCTCACCCACCCACCCACCCCCCCAGTCCGTAATAAAATATTATTGATGGACACACAACCCAACACATACATTGTACATGTATGGAACAAACTCAATCAGTGCTGGTCCATGAGTCATAGTGACATCATGTCAGAGTCACCAGCGGTTTTGAAAAAGGGCTGCTTCTTCACCGCCTTTCCAAACAACGTCGCCTGTCTGGACATAGTCAATAACAGTCGTCAGCGCCAGCGCTAGACGGAAGGACTTCAAAGGAGTGCATGGAAGACGGTACTCTGGACGAAGGAGACAGTGAAACTCAAAAATAGAAAGTGTCGACTCGCCGTCGAATGCGCCGAACTAACTTTATGATCACCGGCCCAGGAGCAGCCAAGGAAGCGCGCGCGGGGGCGCAGAAACTGCGAGAACTACAAAAATATTTGTAGTAGACAGTTCGCGCGCAGCCGCGCGTGGAAAACAGGGGCTACACGTAGACGTACACGTGGCACGCGCACGTGTCATTTCGGAAGTTTTTCAATCCGTAACTGGCCTTGACCCACCCACCCACTTTCGAAGCTACTACGGATTGGAAAAAACTTTCGATAATTGCGGACGACCCCTAAGGAGCTTGCTGCGAACAATATTTTTTTAAAGATCTTGGGCTTTCTGGAAAGGTCTAAAGACGAGGACCTTGAGCTCAAATTCAATATTCAGTGGAGTTCGATGGCATCTGCAGCGCGTTCAAAAGAATGAACGGTTAGCTGGAAGGTGTGTAGATTACATTCTGGAGGCCTGTGTGGTTGATGAATGCACTGGAGCGGAATGCACGCAGGAGATATTGATCACGACGTGTGCCTATGTCTGCGTGTTTCTTGTGTTAGCATTGGTCCAGGTTGAAGCGAGTGGCCTTTCCCGGCACAAGGTTCCAAGCAGAGTCTTAACCTGCAGGTCGGTGTAGGTCATACTAGCATACTAGCACACACACACAGTCGGATATTGCTGTGTCTGCTGTGCCGGTCCTTTTTTTCATCAACCACCACACCATACTGTAAGACCAGTAATGTTAACGAACATTTAAGTATAACGATTTAATAAAGGAATTTAAAAATTCGTTAACATTTGAAGTCGTCACGTACAAAGCGACATGTACATGTACAGTCATTTGCCGGTTTTGAGAGGGAATTTGTTAGAATTTCACCTCGCTAACCCACAAAATCCGGAGATCGTTAACTTTAATTGATGTTAAAGTATCTGGTCTTACAGTAACCGAGGCTGTTCTCTCCAGTTCATGGTGTGCTGGTTGATGAAGAATCTGTGCACCGCCGAATGCTGCTGCTTCCCCTTTGTCAGTCTATCTCTTCAGGCAGTTAATTGGGAACTCGTGGCCTGACACGAGGGAAGCATAGATGCAGTGAATGGGATTTTCGGTCTTTGACTGCTTTGTGGTGGGTCTGATCTCCTCACCTCCCACCGCTGTAGGAGCTACATCTGCGCCTTGATCCT